CTGCATCTATCAAAGGAGTACTTGAAGGGGTCAATGTGCGAGAGAAGCTCAAAAACTTCATTGATCCTTCTCTTAGACCTGAATATCCCCTGGATTTGGCTTTCTCTATGGCTCAGCTGGCTAAAAACTGTGTTGCTCATGATCTCAATGCTCGCCCTTCCATGTCTGAAGTTTTGGTCACTCTATCTAAGATTCTATCTTCTTCATTGGATTGGGATCCTTCTGATGAGTTTCAACGCTCTACATCTCTAGGCAGTGCCAGGTAGAGAGTTGGACACTCTAAGATGCTTTGGTGAAGGTCAAGTGCCCAACTATGAAGGCAAAAAACGAATGCTAGTGACATTTTCCCTGCTATAGTATAAGACAAGTTTTCCCATAAGATTATATCATACATGTGTATGCAAAATATTCTTGTCTAATATGAAATGCGAGATGCAATTCAATAACATATACTCCTGAATAATTTTCCCACAACTTCTTAGTTGTTTTGTTAGAATTGTAAGCACTTAAGAGATTGTTGTGTGTTGAAAACAAAAGAGGAAGTTAATCATACACTTCCATTAAAAAGGATATCAACTTTTATAGCGTTACAAAAGATAATACTCAAAAACAAATAAATAAAATTAAAAGAAAATAAATAACACTATTTGGGATTACTGCATCATTAAGTTTGTGAGTTGTCCTTTACATTTGCATTAATTTCCAAAACAAGACCAACATGAAAAATTAAATAATCACCAAGTGAAAGAAACCAGATAACCATCAAGTAAAAAACATGTAATTAGCATATAGCATTACTTCTCCAAATTGAAAACTAACTTTTCACAAGAGTAAGCAAGGTCTAACTCCAACATACCTCTTTAGGATCAGCTTTCAATATTCTCAATTTGGATCTTATTAATTCAAATTTATCTTTTAGAGTCATATGTTTTTAAATCACTCCCATGCTTATTTTTGTAAGTCTCCCAAGGATAAATAATTCCTTTGTTGTCTTGGTCAAAAGAGGCAACATGTTGCTAAAGGACGCTCATATCTTCCAATGCTCTAGAGCTTATTGACCTCTCGTATATCTTGGCTATGAATGACATGCACCTCCTCATTCGCCTTATGTCTCTTGGTTACTACAGCTTTTCTTCTACTTGATCGGCTTTGTTTTTGCAGACTTTCTCCACATGACTAAGTTGGTTACAAGACTTACATGTAACATTTGGTCTGTACCAGCAAAAAAACTTAGTATGATTGCATTTTTCACAATGAGAACAAGGAGGGTATTGAACCTTGGGCGAACCTAGCTTTCTATTACTATTTTTCTTCTTACTTGCTCGTGCCATTAAAGTATTTTTCCGCATGATCTTCCTGCCTGAACGCCCTTTTCTGCTTTTGAGTTTGAAGAGCATTTATAAGTTCTGTCATGATCAATGTGGCCATATCGTTCGAGTCCTCCAAAAATGATATTTTGGTCTTAAATTTCTCTAACAAGCTTACAAGGAATCTATTAACCATTTCTTTTTGGTAAATTTTCCCAAATAATCTCAATTGATTGACTACTTTCAAAACATTCTCCGAATAGTTTTTTACACTTTCCTCATCCTTCATTTTCAATACTTCAAACTCTCTAAGCAAATTTAGAACTTGTATTTGACAAGTTCTATCACTACCATGAAACTCAATCTTCAATCTGTCTCATGTTTCTCTGTCAAATTCACAATTAATTATATGAGTAAAAATCAAATCGAAAACAACAAAATGAATACAAAATAAAGCTTTATACCTTTACATTCACTATACTGCTTTAATTGCATGATTGTTGGGTTTGATTGTTTGATCTTAGGAGAAATTCCATCAACTTCAATAAGCTCCCAAAAATAGCATGTACTAAGATACGCTTTCATTTTTATTGCCTATATTAAATTGTTTTCTCTCGTAAAAATAGGCGGAGCAATGGCATTAAAATTTGCAAAGGTCATTTTTTTTATATTTTGAAAATAGATAGTAAAAGATAAAGAAGAAATGCTAATAGGGGTTTTTTTTAAAGTGATTTTATACCAATACAATCCCTTAATATAACAACTTTAATATTATATTAGAATTTTAAACACTTGAGAGATAGTTAAGTGTTGAAAAAAAAAAGATAATCACACATTTTCATTAAGAAAGATAATGACTTTTACAACCTTATAAAGATAATAGTGAAAAACAAACTTATAAAATTAAAGGAAAATAAATAGCACTACTTAGAATTATTACACTACTAAATTTGTGGATTGTCCCTTAACTGCCCAAACATGATCAACATAAAAAACTAAAGCACCAAGTTAAAAAAAAACCAAATAACCACTAAGTAAAATATATAACACACTGCTCTACTTCTTTAAATTGAAAACTAACTTTTCATAGTAAAGAGTATAGCAAGCATGACCCAATTCGAACAGTTTTCATGGTCTTTTATTTATCTGTGTTAATATAAAGGACGGAACAAACAAAGATCAAGAAGAAAAACAATGGGGTACTATGATGTTATATGCTTCCCATGCTTCCCATAAGTGTTGGTGAATCATTTTTTTTTTTTTATTGAAGTGCTTGATACATGGAAAGGAGAGCAAGTCCACCACTTGCTTCTCCATTAAAATGGTGAAACAATTTTTTTTTTAATCAAGAAAAAGCCTATAACCTATTGTAATTCTTTTTTATTAAGAAAAACAAGAAATAATAATGTTTACTGGCCATTTTAGTAGTATTTTCTACTAGTATATTCAATAGCAACAAATTATATTGACTCAAAACTTACAATTTAAGAGTATAATAATTTGAGTAGAAATTAAATGTAAAATATTATATAGTTTTAATTGTCTCGTGCAAAAGTAAAAATAACAATTTATTCACTAAAAAATTGTTTTTAATTTTTATTTCATCACACATTTGTTTATGTTAGTAAAATACTTTTAACTTCTTATCCAGCAGTCATTTTTGTACCCGATGAAGTCAATATTTTATTTTTCTTTTATGAACTAAGAAATAATAGTCGTCTATATGCGTTCGCTCCCGAACTATAGAGGGAAAATACTCTCTCGTTCCTCGTACATTAGGTAGTTTAGAAACAAACCATGGCGGCAGCTTCATCGTCCGCCTCTACGGACCCCAAACTCGACCTAAACAAGCAGGTTTTTTCTCTTTCTCTCCTTTTTCTATTCATTTTTTCATGTCTTGTGCTTTCTCATTCATGGGACTATTTCTCTTCTTTTCTATCAGATAAGAACCCATGAGGTTGCAATAGCAGAGCTCAGTAGTCTTTATTCCTCACGGGTATGTCCTTTTATGGGCTTTTTAGTGAAATTCAACAATGACCCATTTTTGCTTTTTTTTTTTTTTTTAAGTTTTCTACTTTTTTCTTGTTGCTTAGTGCTTCATGTATAATTAATAAGGAGTTCAACTTTACCTATTGTAAAGTTGTTTTTTTTTTTTTAGTTCTTGTACATTCTTCTTTGTTCGAAGGATGCATGAAACTGGGATGTCTTCAACCTAAATTTGAAATCATTGGAATGTCTAATCGGCATTGGGAATTTTTCATGGTTGGGCTTCTATGTTCCAGAGTTAGAATTAATTGAAACAGGCCAAGTTGGCTTGGTCATTTTCCCTTGTCGATGGAAATTAAGTTTGATTTCTGCGAGTTATGTTCCTATCACTCATAGGTTTGTTTGAGATATAGATGGTTCATGGTTATTGTCATCAATATAAGGGGCTGATTTAAGTGTGTTTTGATAAGGATGTTTGTTAATTGAAGGCTTGCCTGAGAGATAGGGCTTTGGGGTTTATGTGTTATTTGGGGAGTCCTTGATTATGTTACGATGCTATTGGTAACCATGAAAAGTGTTTTTCTAATGTGACAGCATGATGATTGGTGGTAGAATAGGTTTGTGTAGAATATCTTAGACAATTCAAGAGATTATAAGCATCTCCAACTTTGAAGGAAGATTGATCGTTACTTTGTCTACTAGCTTGCATTACCCTTTATTGAACATCCACTGCAGAACGGAAAAGTCACCTTTTTCATTATGGTGCGTTCCGGATAGGGATTTTAATGAGTCCTGATCATTGGAATGTGGCATTAGGAAATACTTGGATTGTGAAAATTTTTGGTGATGAAGTTACTATAGCTAAGTGAGAAGAACAGCTCTATATGCTGTGACTCTCTCTTGAGAGGGCCAAAAAGTATGCAGGGGATTTACAAAGGATTGGAGTATTGTTTTTGCTGCATATCTTAAATGATGTTGATCCAAAATTGATAAATCAGCTAGCTCACTATTGTTGACTCTTTGGATTAAGCATATTTTTTGGTACTGGAACACGGGAGTTAAGTTCCAAATCCAACCTCAGGTGAAGATCTCTTGTAATATGGGAGAAGCCAGTGGAATTTGATTATTTTCTAGACACTGATGGGTGTCTTTATTGTAGAACAGGAGGTCATGGCGGTGCTTTGAAAAATTCACCAGGAGATGCAGTATTTGCTTTTACAAAAGCTTGCATGCCTGCTACAGTTTATTGCATGGATTAGAAATGATAAAGAATGGCCTAGAGTTCTTAGAAGTTTCCCGAGGATTTGAGTAGCTTGCCAATGAGAGATTGATATTAGAGCCAACAAAATTGTTACATACAGGAAATAGCACAGAGTGTGAAAGCAGTCATCTGATTATATATAGCATTAGGTGCACTCTACTTGACAGACAATCATCCCCCTCCCCCTTCTTTACTTGTTGGAGCATTCAATAACTTTATGATGTATTTTATAGATTACCAAATGATGATGATTTACCAGTTACAGATCTTTAGTGATCAGGTTTCAAATGAGTGATTGACATGCCTAAAATTATTCATAATTTTTTCTGTTAATGCAAAAACTCTTTGGTGGTCAAGGAGTTAAACTATTTTTACATGGATGTAGAAGGAAAGTAAGCAGCAGTAGAAAATATAAGGTCTGTTTCTTTGTAGGTGCATAAATGGATTTAAGGTACTTTTTAGTTACACTTTTTCAACTTGAAAATAAATTTTAATTCTTTCAATGGGGAACATCAGAAACTGTCAAGAGAGTCTAGTATGAATCTGTCAAAAGTATCCAGCAAGGTCTATTACATTTGTGTATGATCCAATGATCTAAAGCTAATCTAAGGAAGGGATTGCTTTGTCAAGTTTTCTTCATTAAACCAAAAGTTTCTAAAGCAGGTTCTATTCAATATACACTAAACTAATCTTGCCGACATCCTGAAACTAAAGCAGGCAGTTCTGAGTATATATGATATGTTTGCCTTTTTCCACTGCAGACGGTCTACCAGAAAAATGGCAACTTATTTTTCCGCACAACTGTTCAAAAAGCTACATCATCTGAGCAAAGTAAGAAATCTTTCCTTTTCACTGCATAATCTTTTTTTGACTAATTAATAATCTATAGTGATATAGTTTTCCTTCTTGGTTGGTTCATTTCTGGCAGAACAACTGGATTCGGCAAAAGCTAAACTTGAAAAGCTGAATTCCCAGTGACTATACGTGGCCCATGTTGTTTCCAGTTTCCTTGACTACTTGCCACTCATTGTGACTGCCTATTCCCAGGGTGTGATGTTAAAGTTAAGGGATTTTCTGCAAGGTTGCAGCCTAGTTTTTGTTGCTACAACATGCCCGGAGTATGAGGCTTGAATATTTTTGGGTGAAGTCTTGTGCAAAATTACCTGTCTATTGTCTGTTTAATGCAACAAGCAAAGTACTAGAGTGAGATTTGAACATATATATGAAATGCAGTGAAACTCCTCTTCCAACCTTTGTCAGGGACTTGTGTGTGTTTGTATGAGGTATGAATATGATGACTATTTGAGAAAACAGAAATGGTAGAGAAATAATTTGGGGAAAAAGGTAGAAAAAGCTTGAAGGACTAAAAGAAAGAGTGAAAAGGGGTAGATGATCTACTGTTGAATTGCAATGCCACGGCAAAGACGGCGCGGAAAGAAATTTGTGACAAGGTTTGACAGGAACTTTGAAAGAAAGACAACTGTAAAGAGGAAGACTGAAGATATTTTTTTGGTTGTTTTAATTAAAATGAGTTTATAATCTCCATTTTAAGCATTAGTAATCTTTTCCAATTTGGTGTATAATGAACTAATGCCTGTTGTTTTCATTAGGCATCAATCAGTCTTGACGGGTCCAATGGGTTCTGCTTTTAGTTAGACGTAATTGGTCCAAAGTTGAAGAGTTATAGGCAACCAAGTCTTAGCAGATATGAATCAGGTTCAAGATAAAATTTGGAGGGGCATAGAAATTCATGAACCAATTAGAACGGTATTCCATAAAATTAATCATGAGGAGGTTTGAACATTCCCTCAAAGCCCTGTAATTTTCCAGTTCAAGCATTCGACATCAAGAGGAAAGAAGAGAAGAGGAAGGTCACATTTTTGAGGTTCATCTTGGGTGTTTCTATTATGTAGATGGTAAGTTGTTGAGGTTAAATGAAGTGATAAAGATGAATTCTTGAGGTTAATCTTACAGTTTGGAACTAAAGGAGCGCACCTGACGGTGAAACTATTAATGGCTTTGTAGCGTCACTTGCTGTGTAAGTTATGCTGTTGCTTGCTGGACGGTGAAAGTATTTTTCGCCTTGGGCTTGAGTTTTCGTTCTTGACCACAACATACAAAAGCAAGAGACTAAGAAAAACCCACTTGACTGGTAATTCTCCAAATGACTTTGCACTAGCAAATTAAATCGCAATAATAATACTGAGATGATGACCGTTCAGGGTCTCAGTTGTACAAAGAAGTCACTCCATGCTTAGCTCTTCACCTATCTCATCTAACTAAAAAAAAAAAAAAGGCATTCCAATTGCCATGGAGAAGAAGCTGAAGCCTTGGCCAACATTTCATGTTCTTGCATTGTTGTCGTTGTTGTTGTTTCTGTCGTTGCATTGTGGCAGCACACAAGGACAACAAACTTATCTGAACAATGATCAGTTGGCATGCGGTGACAAAAGCAAAGACAACAATATCACCAGAGGCTTTTTGTGCAATGGCGTGAAACAATCATGCCAATCCTACATCACCTTCCGGGCAGAGCCTCCCTATGATTCAGCAGTCACCATAGCTTATCTCCTGGGAGCTCAACCTGATCTCATCTCCTCCCTTGGAATCAACAATCTCTCATCTGATGTATCAGCAATCCCTGCAAATTCCCTGGTCTTTGTTCCACTTAATTGCTCCTGTGCTGGAAGCTACTACCAACACAACGCTACCTACACCATCAAGGAGGACACTGAGACATATTTCACCATGGCCAATGATACTTATCAGGGTCTCACCACTTGCCAGGCTATGAAGGCTCAAAACTCAATAGGTATCATGGACCTGAAAGTGGGTGATAAACTCCAAGTTCCCCTTAGATGTGCTTGTCCAACACTTGACCAAATCTATGCTGGGGCCAAATACTTGCTCACCTACATAGCCGGTTGGGAGGACTCCATTCCTTCAATTGCTGAAACTTTTGGTGTCGATGACCAAAGCATATTGGACGCCAACAAGCTCATCATTGAGGACATGATATATCCATTTACTCTTGTTTTGGTTCCACTTGCCAGAGAGCCTACCATGATTGTACCACCCCAGGCTTCCCCGTCTCCACCACCACCTACTCAAATGACTATTACTCCTATTAGACAATCTAAATCTTCCCACAAGTGGATGTTTGTAGGTATTGGCATTGCGGCTGGTTTGCTTTTCCTTTTTAGCCTCTCCGGGCTTCTTTTTTGCTTCTACAAACACCCTTCTCTTAAGGCTGAGCCCGAGGCTTCAGCACCACCCGAACCAAAACCACTCTCAGACTAATAGACTATTCCGACAATCCTGGTTTGTATCTATCCACAGCGGTAGATATACGGTTAAATCCTTAAGCCCCTATACGTTCAAAGACTTGGAAGCTGCAGCTGGGAATTTCAGTGAGTCTAACATAATCAAAGGCTCTGTTTACCGGGGCCAATTCCAAGGTGATGATGCTGCAGTTAAGGTGATGAAAGGGGATGTCTTGGTAGAGATGAATTTATTGAAGGAGATCAATCACAACAACATCGTCAGGCTGTCAGGCTTCTGTGTTCATGAAGGAAACACTTATCTTGTCTATGAGCTTGTAGAGAAAGGTTCTCTAGATGATTGGCTTCAAACTAGCAAGTACCAAACTTCATTTACTCTTTCATGGAAGCAAAGAGTTCAAATTGCGTACAATGTAGCAGATGCAATCAATTACCTCCATAACTATATAAATCCTCCATACATTCACAAGAACTTGAAGACCAGTAACATTCTCCTGGATGGCAACTTTAGAGCCAAGGTTGCCAACTTCTGGTTGGCAAGAACTGTGGAAAATGAGGGTGATTTGCAATTGACTAGACACGTGGTTGGGACTCAGGGTTATATGGCTCCAGAGCACATTGAAAATGGGGTGATTACTCCTAAGCTTGATGTTTTTGCATTCGGGGTTGTCCTGTTGGAGCTTTTATCAGGAAGGAAAGCTGCTGAAAAGAATACTGGAGGAGAGGAATTGCTTTCAGCATCAATAAAAGGGGTGTTAGAAGGGGTTAACGTGGCAGAGAAGCTTCAAAACTTCATTGACCCTACTCTCAGGCATGAATATCCCCTGGATTTGGCTTTTTCCATGGCCCAACTGGCTAGAAATTGTGTTGCGTATGATCTCAATGCTCGCCCGTCCATGGCCGAGGTTTTAATCACTGTCACCAAGATTCTCTCTTCTTCATTGCACTGGCGTCCATCCGACAAGTTTCAGTCCCTAAGCAGTGCCAAGCAGGCCTCCTCCTAGGATTCTAAGAAACTACTATAATTGATGGAAGATCCGACTATAGGATTTTAATTTACTAAACAGATTGTAAGATACTACTTGTTTTCGTGAGGCTATTGTCGACAACGTATAATAAAAGGAAGTCCAGTGACAGAGGCTCTTTCGTTTATATTTCTCCTACACACCAAGACAAGTTTTGCTGTTCTTATCTGATCAATGCGTGCAAAATGCAACATTTTTATGCAATCTTATTAATGTTTAGACAAAATTTTCTTTTTAGATAAGAAAATGGTTGAAAGAGATCCTATACATATATACACATTTTAGGTTTTGAAGCTAAATTGTGCTCAACCATTCACTGACTAGAAGTCTAGAACACGGTTTGTACATTAAGTTTGTATTCCTCAAGCAAAAGAAGATATTACTCAACTTGGATCCTAATGTCCATCACCCTGATTTGATGATAAGCAAAATCGTTGTAGCCCAACTACAGTTTTCACATATAATTTCGACATGGTTGCACCATTTCTTAGAGACAGTTTCCCAGAAATGCACTGGGTCTCTTCCCCTAAATGAAAGTTTCACAATATACAAAAAATGAAAAGGAAGGGGAGAAAAGTGGGAAGAAACTACCGAAATAGTAGAAAGAATCATTCCCCACTGTGCCAACAATCTTCATATGTATTATCACAAATTAATAATCCTCCTACAATGAGGTTTCAGAAATGTTGGAAACCTGATTATTAAGCCAACGGGCAAGATTTTATTCTATACAAACTGCGTAAATAATCCATCTCATTTACAGTAGAAGGTAATTTGACAGAAATGGTAGAATGCTCTACTAAATCCCTTCACGTGAAGTTTGAAACCAAACAATTGCAAGGGTCACAAGGGATGCATAAATGGAATTGGGTAACTTTTGCACCACTTTCCCAACACCAGGAACGCCCTCGGTAGCCTTCTTTGTTGCCATAGCTACAGTTGGAGCTACAACCAAAGTGACAATCAGTCCCTGACTAACAACAATGAATGTGTCAGTCGTGAGCCTCTGAATAAATTTCACAAATTCTTCACGGTCGATTTCTCCATCAAGGTTGAAATCATACTCCTGCATAGTAAACAAATTAACTAATTTATACTTTTTAGCCATTACTATATTACGTTGTTCCAATAACTTTTTAGAGAAAAGCAAAGATACATTCTAAAGAGAAAATTAGGGCTAAAAGCGAAGTAAATACATCCCATAACTTTCCAAGCTGCTGACACTGGCAGGTAATGAGACTCAACAAGATAGTTAACGAGTCCAGAGAAGTAAATATGTATGCATCACATAACTTTCCAAGACGCTGACACTCCTAGGTAATAAAAATAAATACACTATTACTTGAGTCCACTAGAACTTGTCAATGCATTTGCTTTGCATAAGGTTGATATGGTACAGATAGTTATGCTAAAAACCTGCTTAACTTCCAAACACTTCACAGAAGTGAGGCTGTCATTGAGCTTTCCTAAGGAACCTTCCTTTCATAAAGTGCACCATAAATGGTATCAGTAGATTGCAGAACTGACATCTGAATATTTTAATCCTAGGCTAAACATAGTAAAATAAATTTTTAAAAAAATTGAATTTCCATTCGACATCTGAGCAAACCTTGAGGAAGTCAGCCCTTTAGAACAATATGATTGCTAGTAGTCTTAATCTAATGACATTAATTTGAGATGACGTATGGTTAAGTATTATCATCACTCAACTCCCAATTACGTCTATGCACCAAACTTACAAGCACAGAAGCACCTTGAGGTGGATTCAAGATCTCCTTATGCAATGTAGCAAAGATATCCTAGAGGGCAGTCATATTGTCACAGTCCCAAAAAAGAAGCCTTGAATCCCACATCAGTTGTGCACTAGAGTTAAACTTCAAGAGCTTCGTTTTACCAAGAGCATTCAATTTGGTGCTTTTTATTCTTAAAAATTTTAAACACATACAGATGCAGTGACATCCCTTAATCAGTAGCTAAGCCCTCTGACACTGTGTCAATTAATCTGATATATATATCCATAATATTGTATGCGACTGTTAAAGTATATTCATAACATTTTCATTGCAGTAAAGTATATTCGTGAATCCAGTATTTGCATCATGTATTAAATTTTTTGGGTTACCTGCATCATTGATCTGACTTGCTCTTTAGAGGGTGGATCAAAGTGCGGCCCAGGCAAACGCTTATTAATATCACTACAAAGGGAAAAATCAATAATCATGTAATGCCAATAAGGTTAACATCTTCAGTGAATGATTAAAGAATATGAAAATATTGAAACAAAAACTGTTTAAGCAAAATTCCTCACTTGTACACAAGTAGGATAGAAATATATAAATCTTCGAATGTTAAAGTAGCTCTTCCTGATTGATTTTGGATACGCTCAAAAACCTTATCACTTATTTTCCTTATCTGTTTCTTTCTCCATTCCTTCCCTGCACAAAGTGGTAAACTATCAAATACACACAACAGCATTACAAAACAGTGCAAAGTCACTTGTCCAATTCTGATAAGCCAAATAGTAATAAAAAAGTATAGTTACCAAAGAATATGACTCAGTAAGACATCTTGGTCTATAGAACAATATTGACCCTGAAATTCTTTGGCCACTATAACTAATAATGGAAACAAGAAGCCATGAAAACACACTTCTTCAAACTCAGTAGTTACTGAAGTAAATAACAATTCTAGCCAATATGGCCATCAAGCCATCGTAATGCTAAATACCCATTTCTTTAAAAGGACGCTTAAAGCTTCATTAGGCTCTCACTTTTCTCATTTGTTTCTTTTTGAAAAATTAAAAATTCGAGATTTAACTTTCTATAGATAACAAAAAGTAAAGACTTTTTTCATTGTTGCTTTCTATGTGGTCTAAAAAAAGTAATATACCAGTAAAAAAACCACTTCTTTATGGAATATAAATAGAAAATAAACATTTCTAAAAAGACCCTTCATAATTCCCTTGAAAAATCAACTTCTGGGTTTCAAAGATCAGATATTTAGTTATTAGTATGAATTCTCCAGATAAAGAAATATTAAAAGTTTGGGTTAAAATGCTTACCGTGAAATTTGTCTAAGACTTGTCCCATGACTTCAAAAAAAACTCGGTTCTACTTTGCGGATTCGATGAAAGAGAGATGATGGCGGATATACGGAGGAAAAGGGGTAAAGCTGAGGGAGGAAGGGAGGGAAGGAGGTGAGCTTATTCGGTGTCGTTTCTGTGGAAAGTTACTGGCAGGGGTCAAGTGGCACATAAAAGGTGGAGGATTGCAACGTAATAGCGATGAAGGTTCACGTTATCTACTTTGGAAATCCAATCACATTATGTTTATCACTTTCATTGACTTTGCCTTTTATCAATAGTAAGCAAAATAATGATTCAAGCTAGGACCTTCTGGCGACCGGATCTCGTCTTCTTTCTAAGGCCCATTAAAAATTGGTAAGTCAAGGCCTTTGGGCCACATTGTCTCAACCTGTTAGCAGGCCATTGCCATCGTCAACATGGGCCCATCGCAAGTAATTTATTTATGAGATAATACTTATAAAAAAATTTTAAAACATTTTAAAAAATTCGGATGAAATAAGTTTTTAATTTTTATTTTGAGTCAAATAATCATTTATGACTAATGGTTGATTTAATCAAAATACTACTTATTATTTTATATCACGTGACTGACTAATATGTTATAAGGGATAATAACACAACATATTGATATAATATGATGACATGATCATATAGTATTTTTTACTTTTCACATCAGCATATAACACCAATAACATGTAGTATCAAATGATAAGTAGTATTTTGATTAATTATAATTAGTCAATAATTAATCGTAAAAGTTTATTTAGCTCACAATAAGAACTTAATTAAATGTAATAAAAAAATAAAAATTTATTTAAATTTTTTTAAATAGTTTAAGACATTTTTCAAGCATCATGCATTTATCTATTAATTCATTTTAGTGTAAACAAATTTCAAGTAAAATCACTTTTGATCCACGAACAAAATATTAATTTTTTGCTCTTTATTGAATTTGCTTCTCTACATGAATTAATGGAGAAATAAAGTGAGGGAAATTACAGACAAGGCCAGAAACAATAACAAGAAAGATCAGTGTTAGAAGGATAATTAGGAAGACATTGTCGTGATCCTCCAGCTTGGTTATGCTTTTGCAAACACTTGCTGACAATCATCAGCTGCCTCACATCCAGATCGTCTATAGCTTCTCTGTACATATTTTCTGTGCACTAACTTTAGGCACTCCAGATCACTGCAAAAAAGAACAAAAGCGGCATAGTTTTAGAAGGTATATATTCATATATATGAACTCACCTTCCCTAAAAATGAATAGGAGCAAAACAGGCACAGCCTGCAAAAATTCCTAGACAAATCACGCATCCCCCTTTTCCAGGGAAGATCTTTCCACAGCAAGTAGCTTCTGGTAAACCCTGGGCCCATAAAAAGGAAGTTGGTACTGGAATTAAAGCTTCAGAAATTAGAGTTTGATATTCTCATTATGATTGCAATGCAGCAGCATCAGCTTTACATTAATTCAGTCCAACAATGAGGAGTTCCTTTCAAAAGAATGGCTCTCCCAGGTTCCTGAACAAGCAGGAAATAGCAATTGCTGCCTAATTATTAACACTTTTGTTTTCTGATGCTTGCCTCTTTCTGAAATAGGCAACTGCAGGTTATGCCCAGATCCATGTTAGGATATCTTCTCAAGTCTCTACCCTGCCAAAAGGGCACCTCAGGCTTAGCAGGCTGCAACCTGCACAACTTCACCTTCAATTTCAGATAGAAATTTGTTCCAGAAAACTACCCATTTCTGTCCTTTAAATATGAAAATGATTGCAATGAGAAGGAAAACCACTACTATACACAGGAGGAATAGTTCCCATGACAGATCAAAATCAAAGAACAAGAAGCATTCAATGGCTCCGTTCCTCTTTAATTGTGAAAAGGTCTAGTTTGGTGCATATGAAGATTTTTGTTGGGTTTGGGGCTACACAATAAAAAATGTATTTTATTCCTTTTATTTAATAAATCTCGCTCGTTCCATCTCAATATATCAAATTAAGATTTTTAAATAGAGTTATTTCATATATTGGGAAAAACTAAAAACAAAAGTATAATGCTTAAGAAAATTTAAATAAATTATTATTTTTTTATTAAGTTCAATCAAGTCACTGTATTTTTTATTTTAGATCAAATAAACTCTTATGACTAATTATAAATTAATTCTTATTAATTAAAATATCACTTGTCATTTTATATTTTTATGACACTAATATATCGACGTTGATGTGAAAGATGAAAAATGCTACATCATCATATTACCATATCAAATTAGCATGTCATTTCATCGTTAATTATGATATATCAACATGTCACATTATTATCAATTATGACGTGTTAGTCTGCTGCATCAATACCACGCAACATAAAATGACAAATAATATTTTAAATAAATTAAAAATTAATTATAAAGTCTTATTTGGTTTAAAATAAAAATATATAGTTTTGATTGAATATAATAAAATTATAAGGATTTATTTAAAAAAATTTAAATAATTTAAGAGTTTTTTCAAATATTATGTTAAAAATAAAAAATCCAATCCATATATAATATATAGATAAGGTTAGTTTAGGCGATAGAAAGAAAGCTGTTTAATATAGGCAAGCAATGTAGGTTTTGGAACTCAATCACTTGATAAAAACTTTGATATCTAGCCTATAGACTTCGCTTTTGTGATATTTATGGTATGTGATCAAAATAAAAAGTGTATAATATCTTTTTTAGGAATTAAATGCATATATTTTTTATGATTTAACATCTAACTAAACTTTTTAATTTTAATTAATTCTTGATCTTGATTTTCTTTTAATGAGACAAAAAAAATGTTAAAATCAAATGTGTGTCGGCATATGGTACCAAATAGCCAATTATGACTAACATTTCCTACATTGTTCAATGTAGTTGCTCATAATTTAGTGTAATTAAGGAATTTAGTTTCCGAGTTATGCTATTAGCACAACGTATTGTATTTTTTTTTCTTTTTATTTAGGTATAACAACACGTAAGGTATTTACTAATATTATTCATATCATACTCGAACTTAATTAAAAATCAACACTTCTACCATAACTCAATTATTGATGCTTGCAAAAAGTTCAAACTCAACATATTAAATTATAAAAAATATGGGTACCAATCATAAAATCTGTTTTGAACTTAAATCCGCGATAAAAATAACTTTAAAATCAATTTTTACATATATTATCAATAAAATTAAATTAATAAATTAAATTTAACTCATAAAAAAATAAAAATTTTAAAATTATAGTTTTAATAATTAATAAATTTTAATAAATATTACATCAATTATAAATAATTTATAAAAAATAGTATTAAAAATTATTATTTATAATAAAATCTGAATAGTAAGTACTTTATAGGCATGATCAAAATCTTATTCAAACTCATAAAAAGTAATAATTTTACTACTCAAATTTGATCCTAATTCTACTTAATATCGAATAATATAAAATATGTGATCATAAAATATCACTTTTATAAATTTCTTACTACAAACAAAAAGGTCTTGAAAACCAATTCCAATGATATCAAAATAAAAAATATAATTGATTAAAAAAATATTAAAAAAATATTAAATATTTAATTTATTAATTAATATATAATTTCGTTATTTAAAAAATATGAATTCGAATCCTTCCTTAAAAAAATCATATATTGAGTGGTGCAAGAGTTGCCACATCAGCAAGTTCAACACCCTTAGGAGTACTGTTTCAGGGCAAGTGGAAGAGTTATTTGGCGGCTATCAACAAAAAAGTGGTTGTACCAAAATTAAAAAGGCCAAATCAATACGTAAAGTAAAGTGGGCCCAGAAAAAAAGCCTTTTGGACCATATACTATGTCAAGTCTGCCATTAATTTCAGGATTCTATTGTCCCCTTTTCCTTTTCTTAGTATTTATGACTAATAAATTAATTTTAAAATTATTATTACAATTTTCTTTCAAGGAAAAAAATTATAAAAGTATATGAGTATTTAATTCATTAGTTAATGTATGATTTTTTTTTCTAATAGCAAGGTTAGAGTCTTTCAATTATAAATAAATAAAAAAAGTTATGAAATATTTTTAGTTTTTCAATGAAAATAAAACTAATTTCTTTTGCTAAAGTCATTAATTTTGAATACTTTAATTTATTTTTTTTAAATGGTTCCAATTTTATGTCCAAATTCTTTTTTTTTGAACAACGACAACTTTAATTTTTTTTATGTTCTATATTAATATTTGAATTTTTTTCACTTTTTGTCATTAAAAATTAAAACGCATCAATACCATAAAAAGTTTTAAAATAAAGGCAAGGAACATTAAAGTCATAGCATTTTGCTTTTTAATATTTTTGCACCAAATCAAACATAAACATTTGATTTGGAAAAAAAAAAGTACAAAGATTTTTTACATGATACTTAAAAAAGATTTGGAGCTATTCAAGAAAATTTAAATAAATCTTTACTGTTTTATTATTTTCAGTCAAATTTTTATATTTTTATTTTGATTTAATAAGTTTTTAAGATTAATTATTGTTAATGAAAATATCATTTGTCATTATATGTCAGATGATACTAATAAATGTGACATAATGATATGATTATGTGGTATATTTCATCTCATGTCAACGTCACGTTATTGTCATATAGATATAAAATGATAAATGATAGTTTGATTAATGATAATTAGTCAATAATTAGTTATAAGTGCTTATTTAGTCTAAAATAAAAAGTAAAAGAATTTGATTGAATATAATAAAAAAATAAATATTTATTTGAATAATTTAAAAGTTTTTCAAGTATTATGTCAAATTTCTAAAATTGTAATTAACATAAAGCAGAATATTCAACTTGACATGGAAGATAGAAGCTTTTGTATTAAGTATAAATCTTCTTCGGAATCCATCTCTTTTAGTAGTTGTATATTGAGTATCGAGAAACCATTCCGATGTTGAAATTGAAACTTCGCAAATCACATTAAAGAAATATGAGCCCCAACAACAAGATAAAAAGGTCCCCATCCCCTCCCCTCCCTTTCCCACATCTACTCTTCTAGTCCTTGAGCCATTTTCTCCATGGAAACCATTCAATGCAGTAAACGACCTAAGAATGGTTCCTTTGATGATTCTGACAATGAAACCCTTTTACCAGGCCTCCCTGACGATCTAGCTCAACACTGTCTCTCCTCTCTCTTTCCTTCCCTTCTTTTCTCTGTTTGCCACCCATGGCGTCGCCTCCTTTACTCTCCTTCTTTCCCTCCCTTCTTCTCCCTCTACGCTCTCTTTTCTCCTTTGCAAAATCCCACCACAATAAGCCATGGGGAAGTTGCTCACCGAAACTCAATCGAATTCTTCTCCTTTGATCCATTATCATCAGCTTGGAGGCCACTTCCTAGCCCTCCACAAAACCCTCCTCTTCATCTCCTCCACCGCCACCCTTCTTTTCTATCACGAAAACTCCCAATACAATCCTTGACAGTCTCCAACCATTTAGTACTCATAGCTGCCACCACTCACAATTTTTCCCCTGCACTTTCCAGCCCTTTACTCTTCCACCCAGAGTCCAACCGCTGGTTTTACGGCCCCCAAATCTCCACCCCACGCCGGTGGTGCGCCACAGGCGCAGTCCGAGGGGTGGTCTACATGGCAAGCGGTGTTGTTGGTTCTTATTACAGAGGAGATGTGGCAAGGTCGATGGAACAGTGGGACTTAAACCAGAAGAGTGAAAGTTGGGTTTGGGAAAACAAGGCACAGCTTAAAGATGGAAGGTTCAGTAGGGAAGCAGTGGATGCAGTTGGTTATAGAGGGAAACTTTGCATGGTTAATGTCAAAGGCAATGCAGTGAAAGAAGGTGCGGTTTACAACGTGGAATTGGACAAGTGGGAAGAAATGCCCTGTGGAATGGTAGCTGGTTGGAATGGGCCGGCGGCAACGATGGATGAAGATGTGATCTATGTGATTGATGAAGTGAAAGGTTCTTTAAGCAAGTACGACGCTGAAAAGGATTGCTGGGTGGCGTTGATCGAGCTGGAACAGCTTAAACGTGCAGAACAAATAGCAGCACGAAGAGGGAAAATTTGTGCGGTTCCAGCAAATGGGGAAAAAATTATAGTGGTGGATGTTGGGGAAGAAAGGGCTGCAGCCAGGTTCTGGGAGGTGGCGCCACCACGAGGGTTCGAAGTCGTTGCTGTGCATGTTTTGCCTAGAATCACCAGGCAGCAGTAGTTCATGTTCAAATCAAGTTTTGTTTCTTTTGTTCTCCCTTTATTTGTTTTATTTCCTTTTTGTGATTTAGGATTTGTGTTTAAATATATGAATTTCACTTATGTACATGAGTTCAAATTTATGTTCCATCAATGCACTGCAATACTATACATTTATACGTTAAATTTTATCATTATGTTTTTTTGGATCTAGAGAAGGAGATTTGAATTTATTTTTTTAAACAAAACATCATATCTAGATACTTATCATTATTTTAATAAGTTAATTTATCTAAAAATCTTAAAAATAAATCAAGCATATTGTGATTATATTTAAAAATTAATACTAAAAATAAATCAAGCATATTGTGCTCTGCATGTGTATATTCAATCCTTGGCACATTTCATGCTCTTTAACAAAACCTACTTTACCTAATTTTGTTTGTTTTTAAATTAAATTAATAAATAAATTAACAAATTAAATAACTTTAGATTCAATATAAGAATCAAAGAGACTTTTCTGGAACCTTATTTTAAAGCTCTAGTATAATTAATCAATCTGCTCAACCAACTTATTTAACTGTGGTCTTCGAAAAATTATTTTTTAAAAAAGATATTTATTTTCATCATTGACTTAAAATTTTCATACAAATAATAGACAACCTTCATTAATTCCGCTTCAAAACCATCTATTAATTCAATAATTTAAATACATATATATTTTTTGAAAGGTAATTTATATATATATATATATATATAATTCGAGGACTTCCTCAATATTGCTATTACTGTTGAGACAAAAAAAGAAATATCGTGGACTAATGTTACGTCCCTTTCTTTTTGTATGAAGCTGTGTGTGGCTCGTAACTGGACACGCCTATGCGTATGAAACTGATTAAATTCAGTCTCAGAGGAATTGTACGGCTCATTTACTAGCCTAACCCTGCATTGTCTCCTAAATCAATTTATTACAAATACTTTCGAATTGTACAAGAAATTAATAAAACCCCAAAAGTTTCATGGAGTTGGTGAACTTACTTGTGTCGTGTGCCTTGCATTAATTTCCTTATTTGCATTTGGTCAAAACCGCATTTTAATTTTAATAAATGAGATTAACTAGTCGAAGGAAGCAACTTGTTTGATGAACTGAAACCTACGTTCACTTGACTATTTGACCCTTTTATATATGTATTAAATGTACAACTTGGGTAAAGGAACAGTTGTACATTAAGAAAAGCTATATATGTTAATTAGTTTCTTCCAAGCTTTTGATGAAAACTTCTTTTGTTTATTAGAAAAAGATAAAACCAACGACTTATTTTTACCTGACCTTTTGTCCTCTACATCAATTTGATCCTCCCAAAGTCTACCAAATCCACCAAGGTATTTCATATTAGTTTTGTACCACATTTAGTTTCCCTCTTTTATCTAAGAAAATTGTATAAATTGTATGCAGGAAATGGAGTCTACAGTTTCTCATGCCTATGCATTTGAAGGCTCGGGGGGAAGGCCTTAGACCCCAAGAGGGAAAGAAGCAATTGGGTCTACATAGAAAAGTAAGAGATAAGGTGGTTCACATGCAATGCTAGAAACTAAAGATTCAAAGACAAGTGAGTAGAAAAAGGCATCCTTACTTTCATATGAACCACTAAATGCAAAGCTCCTGACAACACCCACCTTTACTTATTTATTATTCTCTTCAAGAGGCTACACACAAGCTTGATAGGAAACCTTTTTCTTTTGTCTTTCTTCTCCTCTCCATACGATTCATATTTTCACACATCGAAAAACCTGTTTTTAGGTTATAATAATTAATGCTGACATGTGACAACTCCAATATTTTTATATTTATTTATTCTTGGTTGGATTTTAGTGCTTTGCCTAGAATCATCGTCTTGTAATGATTCCAAAACGCTTACTTCAAAATCTTTGAATTCTTTTTTGAAGAATAAAGCGTGAGTGTGGTATACGGGTTTGGACCTTACATGCAAAAGTTTCTGAACTTAAGGGCCATTGAATTTCTGGCTGACGAAATTGTTCTCCTCTTTGGCTCTTTGTCTGATCATCTGTCTCTTATCCCCACGCGAGTACATGCAAACTTCTCTGAGTTTCGGGCTTTTTGGTTTATGGACCCTTTGGACCTAACTGCTGGGTTTATTCTGTTAGGTGGGTCTTTCCTATTTATGATCATCAAAGCAAATTGAAGTTGAATTACAACTCCAGTAACCTTGATCTACAATCGTACAGCAAATGAGAGAGGCAAAGTAGCAACCTGAATTGAGTTTTTGATAGATTGGAGAAGCAGTTTGATATGCTCAAAATCAGCTCAAGTGGGCATCGATTTTATCTTAACTTTTTATTTTCTTTTAGATTTTGCATTAAACGCATATATATATATATATATATATATATATATATATCAGCATTCATCTGTAAAAGGGATTATTAGGACACTCTTTCTTTCCATGGCACTTCTGAATTCCAATAATGTCTTCCATCCATGTATACTGAATTCTCTGTATTATTGATGAATAATTGAATAAGATTTGAATTTAAATATTTGAAAAAGTTTTTAAATTATTCAAAAAATATTTTAAATAAGTTTTTAATATTTTATTATATTCAATTAAGTTTTTATAATTTTATTTTAAATTAAATAGAGTTTTATGACTAATAGTTGATTCATTTGTAATTAATTAAAATATCACTTGTAATTTTATATTTACGTGATATTAATCTAACACTAAGATAATATTGACTTAAACAATAAAAATGTCATATGATCATAATATTATATCACTGTAACATACCACATTATTATTATTATTTATTATAACATACTAACATGCCACATTCACGTTACAATAGAAACAATTAGTCTTAAATTTGACTTTTTTAAATTGCTTTTGTAGTCACAATTTAAGAGAAGAAAACAGCACCATACTAAGAATCTCATATCAAATTGCTCCATCTAATTGCCATTGATGGTATACAACCATTTTTGACTTTATAAGAATACCAAATACAAAAAAAAAAAAAAAAAACCACCTCTTTCCAATTTTTGTTTTTTTTTTGAAAATTGTTTGAACCAATCGATTAAAACTAAGATTTTATCTTTGAATAAGAGATTAAAATAGTATTTTTAATATGGTTTTATTTTATCTCAGTTGAATAAGGGGATGTGTTTAGAAAATTGGGTTCACCTTCTTTAGTACACATTCTTAACCAGGATGGTCTCCCAAGCCCTCTTCAAAATGTATTTTGTATAGACAGGTGCATAGAGTTTTGATTCTAAGTTTTCGTTTTTGCTTTTTGCTTTGTTTCTTTAGCTATGAGACTGATGTATCATATACTATTTTGTAATGAAATTATAGTTCATTTTAAACCAAAAAAAAAATGAGATATTACAATTATATATATTATAAATGAGATATTCAAAAAGATTTTTTGGTCTATTTATTTAAGTTTTAGTTTTGATTTTTGCTCAACATTTTCGACAAAAAAAGAAAATTTCCCGAATTTCACTTTTAGTGAATTTTATTTGCCTTTCATGTTTTCTATTTTTGCTTTTTGGAATTACATGGACAAAGACGTCATCAAAATGAAAGACCCAAGCCTGCCAGACAAAGTTGTAAGAGCCGCCCATGTGATGAGACCAAATGCATAGGTCCAAAACTTTTCCAAAGAAAATTTCATTTCATTTTCCTTTCGTTGTCTATTCACATTACACCGTTTGTATATATGGATCATGTTGAATTATGAAGGTTGAGATACCAAACAGCATGGCAGAAGTGAAGCTTTTCAAGACATGGTCAACCCCTTTTGGTGCAAGGGTTGTTTGGGCTTTGAAGCTCAAGGGCATACAGTATGAAGCAATAGATGAAGATCTATCCAACAAGAGTGCTTTGCTTCTTCAGTATAATCCTGTCTACAAGAAAGTTCCAGTGCTTGTTCACGATGGAAAACCCATCTCAGAGTCACTTGTAATTCTTGAATACATAGAGGAGACATGGAAGCAGAATCCGATATTGCCTGAAGATCCTTTGGGGAAAGCCAAGGCACGCTTTTGGGCGAAATTCAACGATGAAAAGGTACTACTATTTAAGTTTCTGAAAGCACTGGGATTTGTCACTGTCAAAAACGTGTTCACACCGTTTCTTCTTGATACAGCTTCTACCATCGATCTGGAGTGCTTTCACCAAAGAAGGAACAGAGCGAGAGGAAGCTATGGGGGCAGCACTGGAGAGCCTGAAATTTGTAGAAGAAGAGCTCAAGGGAAAGAAATTCTTCGGTGGAGAGAAGATAGGACTGGCTGATCTTGTTTTTGGTTGGCTTGCCAACTTAACCCGTGTTTTTGAAGAGGTGGCTGGCTTGAAAATACCTGATGAGAGATATCCATTATTATTGGCCTGGCTGCAAGAGTTTTCAGAACACCCAATAATCAAGGATTACTGGCCACCTCATGACAAGCTGGTCATCAAGTACCAAGCACTTTATGAGAAATTTCATCCAGCAAAATGAACTATTCTCAGGCTTTCCATGGATGGTTACCTTAGGCATCATATGGCTAGCAATAGTTTCAAACCATTCGTGTAGACAAGGCCCTTGAGTCTATTCAGTACTATTACCAGAAATGTGGAACTTTCCCTTTTGCTCTGTCAAGAAACAGAAGTTGTAATAGTGGAGATTGCCTTACGAATTATATCCAACTTGTTGCTGATTTTAACACTTCTTATCCATGAGATCTAGCTCCTAGACTGTAAAATTCAAAGAAACAACTTTATGAAATGGATTATAAGTGAATAATAAACAAAATAAATAAATGTAGGCTTCATGCTTAAATCTGCCAGTAATATGCATCATTGTTTCCCCTTCTTTATGCCTCCATACGCACAGTGAAATTTTCATTGAGCGTGGCAGGTCCACGCCAAGCAATAAGCTGCATATTTTGGCAAACAGATATAGTCTGGATACCAATTGAATATGTGCTTTGTCTAGGATAACTAAATGCCAGCTAGGAGTAGACAGATATAAAATAGTAATATTTGCCAGAAGCGTCTAGTTTCTCCAAGACAGATTTTACATTCATTGTCTTTTGTGATAGAATGTGATGGGAACTATGAAAGATCATCCTTGCATAGTCAAGAAATCATGCCCAATAGAAAAAGTAATAAAGCTGCAAGATGAATGGGGCACAAATATAAGCTTTGAATACTACCATACATACTTTTCAGCCACAAAAAATGTGAACAAGTAAAGAGATCCGTCACCAATGATCTCCACAACTACATATTCCATCCTTGAAGTTATGAAAGCGATTGGCATCTCTTACTAATATTTCTCTTTGCATAATCATTGATATATACTTGGTCACAGTGTGACAATCCCCACAAACACGAAGGTTTTTCATGATCTGCAATGGAGTCCCTGGCTTTGTGTTTAACAATCCAAATGCTATGGCAAGCCTTTCACTGTGCCCACAAAGCAGGTCTTTCTTCTCATCCTCTTCAATATCATGCAAAACATATCTCAGATCAGCAACATAACCTTCCTTAGCCATCAAACCGGAAATTATCCCGAGTAACTTATTAACCTCATCAAACTGCTCAAAGAACTTGTCCCCAGCTCCAAACACATACAACCTTCTTTTAATTTCTATCCAGCTACATCCAGGATCTTTTTTGAGGCCTCTAGCTTTTATGGATTTTCGTATCATTCTAACTTGATCCCACTTCCCTAAAATGGCATATACATTGGATGCTAAAACATAATACCCAGTATCATTTGAATTTAACTCAAGGATCCGCTCAGAGACACGTTGTGCTACCTCTATGTTACCACATGATCGACAAGCACTAAGTAGAGATCCCCATATACTTGCATCTGGCTTCAGTGGCATTGAATAGATGAACTCCTCTGCTTTAGAAATCAATCCAGAACGGGAAAGGAGATCAACTACACAAGCATAATGTTCGATCCTGGGCTCCAAGTTGTAAATTTTTTTCATCCGATCGAAGGAAGCCAAACCCTCTTCTACCAAACCTGAATGGCTACAAGCATAGATGATGGCAACAAAGGCAACATGGTCAGGAATAACACCACTTGCTTCCATCTCTGCAAAAGCTCTCAATGCTTTCTTGCCTTCACCATACATCCCATATGCAGAGATCATAGTAGTCCATGTCACCAGATCTCTCACTTCCATACAGTCAAATACTTTAAGAGAAATTGTTAAAGTACCACATTTAGAGTACATTTCAATTAGTGCATTCCCAACTGGAACATCTGTTTCAAAGCCTAATCTGAAAATACATCCATGGATCTCTTTACCTTGCCGTTTGGCAGCAAGAAAAAAGCACATAGGCAAGATGCCTAATATAGTGGCCGCATCAGGCCTCAATCCCTCAGTCCTCATTTGATGAATCAATTTCCAACCTAAAGTGAAATCCCCAGATTGAACACATGCTGTGATAATTGTATTCCATGTAACTCTATCATGAGTTTTCATGTATTCAAATATTTTCATTGAGTCATTTATTTGCCCACATTTAGCATACATATCAATCATAGCATTATTGATAATGATATCAGAATCAAATCCCAGTTTGGTCACATCACAGTGAATTTTTTTTCCCAGGTCCTTGTCTGCTAACTGAGTAGAAGCAGAGAGGAGCATCACACAAGTGATAGAATCAACTTTCGAATCAATTTTCATAATCCTAAAAAGTTTCACTGCCTCATCATATTTTCCATATTGAAAATAACCGTTTATTATAGAGTTCCACGACACAGAATCCCTGCATATCATTCTGTCAAATACTTCACGTGAAGCCAGCAAGTCACCGCATTTTGAATACATGTCAATAAGAATGTTATCAGCAGTAGTATCACTCTCATACCCGCTTCTCTTCATGTACTCATGAACAAATTTTCCAAATTCCAAGTCATGTAAATGACCACAAGCACATAGAATAGAAGTAATTGTCAGTAAATCAGGTTCAAACTTATTAACCATCTGCATAAACAACAGGATCGACTCTTTGAATAATTCCATCTGAGAATACCCGCATATCAATGTATTCCAACTAACAGTATCCCTAACTACCATCTCATCAAAAATCCTTCGCGCATCCAGAAGCCTATTAAACTTGAAGTACATGGAAAGAAGTCCATTACTTACAACAACATCGCTGTGAAGCCCAATCTTCTCAACCAAACAATGAACTACCTCACCTTCTTTAACATCCACCAATCCTCCACATGCAGGCAAAACACTGGAAACAGTATAACAATCTGGCATAATTCCCGCCATTCTTGCCATATTATAAACGTCCAATGCTTCTTCCCAATACCCATTTGCACTATACCCCGAAATCAAAGTATTCCAAGACACAACATCTCTTTCAGGCATTCCATCAAACACCTTTAAAGCTTCAGCCAAACAACCAAATCGCGCATACATATCCACCAAAGCATTCCCAATATATAAATCTGAGCCTAAACCCATATCCAACACATTCTCATGAACGACTTTTCCCATCTCAATATCAACCAACGCCGCACACGAGTTTGCAACAGAAGGGAATGTATACTTATCAGGCAAAACATCCATTTTTCGCATTTGGGTGTAAAAACCAAGTGCTTTAGAGAACAACCCATTGTGGGTAAGAGCTCTAATAATTGAATTCCATTGATAAACATTGCTTGTAGGTGAAACTCGGTGGAAAACTGAGAGTGAAGAAGTTGGGTCTTTGAACTGAGCATATTTGCTTATAAGTTTACCAGAAAAGAGGACAGATTTTCCAAGTCCTAGAGTTAATATTATCGAGTGGATTTTGTGCAGTTGTTTAGAGTTTGATGCAGATGATAACGCTTTTTTGATTGAAGAGTAAAGAATTTGATGCGTAGCTTCATGTGAAGTGTTAAAAATTTTCATGAAGTTCAAGCATGTTTTTGCAGTTGGGTTTGGGTTTCCCTCCAAAAGAGGTTTATAACAATATCTATAGAGGGCAAATTACATGATCAGCCTTATACTAATATATAACACAATTTCCGAAACTTTCAGCATTTCTTTTTACAAATATATATGTAACACTACCTAAAGAAAGATTTGTATGATCAAGTACTATTTAATATCCCTACTCTTCAATCAAATGAAACCAAAACTCACATAATCATCCTCATAATCATTGGTAGTTATTTGCTACTACTTATTATTGCTATTGTCCACTGGTTCAGGTTCTATTCTTCCTTCTTCTTTATTCATTTCTTCTACTTGTTTCCTTCATATCAAGGGAGCAATTAAGATAGGAACCGTCGACTACCCCATAGACATATTCTCATTATAAAATCCCTCCAATGGCAGCAATGTCGTCCTTCTCATTTAAATTTGCTTTGCCACCAACTCGAAAAGTAGGCTGGACCAGAAGGAAATAGACCGGTCTTGCTCCAATTATTATCTAATAATGCATGCTGCTCTCCCTTAGGTTTCCAAAGACTGATGGACTCTTTTTCTCTCAACCTTTTGGACAATATATTTACTAACAATTTCCCAACGACCTTAGAATTAAAGCTCATCGGGAGCTTTTACTTCTTTTTGCTTGTACATCAACTTTCTTCCTTTTCATTTATGAAGTGTGTGGAATCTTAGGCTGCAGACTGCCCTGAAGCTATACCTCCTTCAATCAACTGGCTGCCAAGGCAAGCAGCTGTTTGAATACTCCAGTAAGTTTTTCCTGTCTATGTTAATTTTATTCGTCTGCAGTATAAAGGAAGAAGACCATTTAATCAGAAGTATATTTCCCTGTAAAGCCAACAGTAAATCTATTTTGTCTTCCAATTCATTTGAGCTCTATCAAATGCACGTGTCAAGGATATATCTTCTTTGGTTTTCATATGTTACCTTGCGTATACCTATATATAACAAGATTGAATCCTATTACTTACAGAATCATCTCATATACATACCCTTTAAGGAAGAATTAAGTAATTCAACCTGTTGCTTTTGTATTATTAATGGATTTGGCTGGTGGGACAATATAAAACAGAGGATTTTCCAGAACTTAAAGCTCGAAGAACTAGGAGTGATATACTTATCGATCGTGAATGGTGGTTGAGTGTCTTTTTTCAACGTTCGACATTGTTGAAAAAAGAGTGGATTGGGTTCATAGAAAGCTTGCCTATCACTGCCCCGAAAAGATGTAGAAATTATATATGTGTATTGTCAGTACCTGATTAATTTACTAGCTTTTGAACTCCTTGCTGAGAACAAACTTGGCCCTTCTCATTTATTGAAGCCTATAATTGGTCCAATGCTATTGTTATCGACATTAACTGTCTTTACTATTGTTTGTTATCGACATTAACTGTCTTTACTATTGTTGACCCCTTGCCCCTACATCCTTATAAATTTCTTTATGGACTAATTTACTGGTAAAAGTGTGTTTTAGATGATTGTACGCTTATATCAAGAGTTCGGAATCGAATCTCTCACTTTCAAGAAGGAGTTTTAGTTTTTTTAAGGAAAGGAAACAACTACTCCCACTGTGCACCCTGTATCCTTATGATTGCTGGGTAGATAGAGAAATATATTTATAAATAAACAATTAAACTATAGTTTATTGAAAGCAAGAAATATACTCAGTACTATAAGCAGTTAGCTACTCTTCAACATCAAGTAGTTTTCATTGCATAGTTAAGTAATGTGCATTGTTTCTTCTTCAAAACCTTTTTGTCAGAGCCCGAAAGTAATTGCTTAATTTCTTGATTGGTTCAACTCTTTGTTAGAACATCATGTAGACTCTAAAACTAATGTCTGACAGATGGTTGCTAATTACATACGCCATGCATGAAGTCACTTGAAAATGAAGTTCAATTATATCTGTTCTCACACCTAACAGTCCAGCATTAACATTGCATTTGAATAGTGTTGTCTTTACTTATATCCTTTAGATCCAACCAGAAAAACCTCATCCACGGTTGTCCTTGGTGGATTTGCTATTACATTTTCCTTTTCTTGTTCCCTACTCTTCTTCTTCTTCCTCCTGTCTTTACTTTATTAGATTCCCTTTTTTTCCACACTCTTTTCTTTTCTCTTGAAAATGAAACTAAGAAGTTAATTAGCCAGTAAAATGAACATGTTTCACTTTGATTAAATATGAGCTGATTAAAAACATTTCGATCAAATCATTGAAAGAAAAAAGAGAGTTATTCGGCACATACATATGACAATGAAATTAATTAACTAGAAGCACAATAATGTCTGCTGCAAAGGTACAATTAATTCATATGGAATGATATCAAATCCTAAGGTAAAATACATTGATAGTTTTAATTTTTGACCATAATTACATATGAGTTTATTAATTTTTAAAATAATCACTTCGTTCCAAATGTGTAAATGATATTAATACTTAAATGTGAAATATATAAAATGTTCTTTTTCTTTTTTCACTTTTTTCTTTTCTCTCAAGTCAGTCGACAATGATCTCTTACATCGACCAGCCACCTTGTGGGTAGATCTAATCATGAAATGCCTAATTCGATTGATCTCTCCAAGGGAGCACCAGATCGGTACTCCTTTGGAGAGTGTCAATTGGTGCCAGCTGCAGGATGACTAGTTGACGAACGATAATAGAGATTTTTTTTTTGAATAAGAAAGAAAAAATTTGAAAATGAAAATCATAATTTATATAGTAATAATTTTTAAAATTAATGAAACGTAAAATTATTTTAAAAATATTATCATGTTATCAAATTAATAGAAATATTGACGGTTGTCTAATGACAGGATTCATGTGTCTAAGGAAATATATTTTTTAAGTCAGAGTCTCCATTTTAAAAGTTAATGAATCTGCCTATAATTATTTTCAAAAGTCGAGGATATCTATATTTTACCCCAAATATTAATGTTACTAGTTCAATTCACATGGTATTTCATAAAGAATATTAATATAAATCAGTCCGAAGAAGCAAAGTCCACTTCAAATTCAATATGAATACGTTTCTTTGCTTGCCGGCCTTAAGGGAAAAGAGTGAAGATCTACCAGTCAACACTCACAAACCAGCTTTTAAATTGTCTTAGTGCCATACCATACTCTATTTATTAGAAGGTGCACCAAGCGACTATTGGAACCAGTAAAAATTCATTAAACATTTACATTGGGATGCAGTGTGATTATGGCCCATTTCGTCGATTGCCATCAAAGCATTTTGCAACTCCTTCAAAGTCCTTCTAGTTGTTGGTGGTACTGAGCCTTGCATGTACAACAGTTCAAAGAATCGGGACATCCATTCCTTTTACAAAACAAATCAGGTAAGCAGTGACATCACACATCAATGAACAATTCCACAGTGAACTGCTCTATGCTGAAATTAACAGAATTTCTCATGATAGCTATATAGTTTTTACTCTTACTTTGTTCTTCAAAATTCCATTAATACGATGAACGTTTCTCATTTTCATAGGTAATTTCTGAGTGCTTGAACTATCTTTAATCAAAGCGTACATACATATGGTAACCATTAGTACTCAAAACTAGGTGAAAGTATCTTGGAGAATATCTTTAAAGATGCTATACTCAGGCCAGTCCAAATGTAGAAATCACCTTGTTTTCCACGTTATAACATTTGCAGAAGGGATATGGATGACAGTATGGAGGAGAGGTTTCTTGCACAAAAAGAAGAAGACGCGACTGATCATGATGATCTGAGAAGAAGACTTTGGATTGAATCAAAGACTATATGGAGAGTCGCATTCCCATCCATATTGTCAAGGGTAAGTTCATTTGGAATGATTGTTGTGACACAGTCATTTCTCGGACACATTAGCGAGGTAGAGCTTGCCGCATATGCACTCCTACAAAGCATTCTAGTCAGGTTCATGTATGGGATTGTGGTAAGATATAATTTTTTTTTTCATCTTTTATGTTTTTAAGTTGTGTTTCTAATTTCAAACAAGGATGAGTTCACTTTCATTTGAAAATAAATAAGCTAATACGGGTTCCCAAAAACGAGTTCTTATAATAAAGTTTGTTCACAAATAAATTACGCATTTGACTACTGTTAATACATTCAGGGATTCTGTGATTAATGAAATTTAGAACTAGAAACAGCATTAAATAAACAGTCACCAAAGCAAGCATCTTTTTTTATTTGAAAGGTTGAGATTTTATTACTGTAAAAATATCCAAATAGAGATTTATAGAGAGCAAAGTCACATGTGATTTGCTTGAAAACAAAATGAATTCCCAGCAGGAGGGTTGGCAGAACATAGAAAAGACCTTGATAAGCCTTCAAACATCAATCATACCAGAAACGATAACAAAGAAATCAAAGCCAATATAGACTTGCCCTTACTAATCTGGGACAGTAAAAATGGATCACCAGCATTAATTCATGTCTTTCTGAATCGATCGCTTTATGTTCATAATTGCTTCCCAATCCTTGCAAAAAATGGTTAATACCTTGTCGATGCATGGAAGATTGGCATGTCGAGTGCAACCGAGACTCTGTGTGGGCAAGCATTTGGAGCAGGGCATCACCACATGATGGGAATTTACCTGCAACGATCATGGATTGTCGACGGTATCACAGCAACAATATTGGCACCTCTCTTCATATTCGTGACGCCAATCTTTAGACTTCTTGGCCAGGAGGAGGAACTAGCAGTTGCAGCCGGGCCAATCGCTCTGTGGTTTATTCCGATGATCTACAGTTTTGTGATGTCTTTGACTATCTCGATGTTCTTACAAGCACAACTCAAGAATTTGATCGTGGGATGGGTATCGACTGCAGCATTCGCGCTTCATGTGTTATTGTCATGGATGTTTGTGTACAAATTGAACTGGGGAGTTAATGGGGCAATGGCTTCAATGGTTATATCTGGTTGGACATCGGTTGCAGGGCAGGTGGTGTATGTCTTTGGAGGTTGGTGTCCTAATACATGGAAAGGATTCTCTAAAGCTGCTTTCTGTGATCTATTGCCTGTAGTAAAGCTCTCAATATCCTCCGGAGTCATGATTTGGTAACCTTGAATTCCCAGCTACCTTTCTATTTTTTTAGGCTCTACGTTAATTTTCACATTTCCAGTCCACTATGGATTTAGCTTTTTCTTTTTTTTGTGAAAAATAACTAATTCATTGATATGGCCTGGGTAACAGTCCAGCCAGGCATGGGACGATTCTTAGCCTATGAGTTTTGATGTAAAACCCACGTGCATAAAACCTTCCCTTCTAAAAACAAAAAGACCAAAGCTCTGTTATACAAAAATTTCAGAGCAACAGACTACAATGCATTCCCAGAAATCCCCCTGATACGCAGTCACATATTTACTCACATCATTAGTCCCTCTTAGCTTTACACTCAATCCCACTCATTTACAACAAAAAATACACAACTATAAACATCAGTCAGCTTGTTCAAAACAAAATCATTAAGACAAACCCATCCAGATGAAGGCAAAAACAAAAGTGAGTCAGACATGCATAGCTTTGGTGAAACCTTTTCTCGTAGCTCTATAAATCAAACTTGTTCCCTCGTTCCAGAAAATCAAGACTTTATTTAAGTTCCACGGGTACCACATCAACCTCAATATGAGCTTCAGTCAGAGACATTTATTTAATCCTCCTGTCTCCGAACCCTCTCCTTTGCCAGGCAATCTGCCACTTAGTTTCTTTCTCTAAAAATGTGGTTCACCTCCCATCTTGGAATACTCTTTTTTCAACCTTTTCAGTGTGGAGAATCCATTTTCTCAATCTCCATGGTGTTTCCATTGGATTGTTCACCTTCTTTACGGCATTCTAGGAGTTGCTTTCCATGATCAACTCATGTATTGTAATCCATTTAGAAGCTGAAAAGATCAAGAAGGCCTTTCTAATTGCTTTAACCTCCGCTAAGCTTGCATCCCCCATACCAATAGCCTTGGAGAATGTAATTTTGAAGCTTCCATTTTCCTCTCTTAGAACTCCTCCAATCCCAGCCTCCCCTAGACCACCTTTTGCAGCTCCGTTTATATTAAATTTAATCTTCCCCTAGCCAGGCTTAACCCACTCCTCCACCTGCTTGCTGTTTGTTGTTTTAGTCATTCTAGGCACAAGTCTTAGGTTTCTGTAGATGTCTAGCACAACACTGTAAGCATGAGGTCACTTTGCTTTTGCCCATGTAGGAACTCTTAACTTACTGATTTCATAGACTTGATCAACATCCCACACTTTTCCTTGAAAAACCATGTCATTTCTGTGAAGCCATGGTGACCAAGCAATGGCATAGAACACTAGTTTCCAGATTTTGGTTTCTCCCCTTTTAATAAACACATTATTCCACATGGAGAAAAAACTAGAAATATTGTTAGGACCAGTCCATTGGACCTCTCAATCACCACTCCATTTCATCCATAGGTTTCATGATTCAGGATAGTGTATAAAAAGATGACTAACTGTTTCTTGTTGTTCATGACATAAAGCACATCTTGCGGCGTCTGCGGATAAGAGCGTTGGTCGAACCAACTCATGCTTGATAGCAACTCTTTCATGAAGTAGTTGCTAGTAGAAGATTTCTATTCTAAATGGTGCCAAATTTGCCTAAACCTCATTCCATCCTTCCCTGTTGCTGCCATCAGAGTGCATCACCTCTTTGCAAAAGGCTTTCATTGTGTAATTACCTGGGGCCGACCCCCTCCACACGAGGTTGTCATCCATCTCCTTGCTTAAATGGTATTCCTCCGCCGCTCTAAATTGACTCCATTGTTCTTTTTCCCAATCGAGTGGCATTCTTCTAAGGTCAACGTCCCGTCTCCATAAGTCATGCTTGCAGTACCCGAATTCATTGATGCAACCATTTTTATTCCGGGTTAAAGCATAAATCTTTGGAAACCGATCTTTGAGGGTATCCCCCTCCATCCGTCTATCCAAAATCTAATATTCTCACCATTTCCAACAGTCATCTATAAGTTGTTCTTAATCGACAAAAAGTACTCATTAATAGTAGATAAGGGTTTAATAATGTTCTTCCAAGTGGTGGAAAACTTCCTGTTTGTGTTGATGTCTGGTAGGAGACTGGTGGGATCACTCCCTATTTTCTTCACTATCACTTTTCTCCACAAACTACTTTTATCATTTCCGTATCTCCAGATCCACTTGTTAAGTATCGCTCTCTTTTAACATTTCACAGATTCTCCAAGTTTGGCTCGCAAAATATCATGGTATCATCCATAAACTGCAACTGGGATATCGTGAGCCCATTGCTACCGATCGGAACCCCTTGGCACATGCCAATAGTCTCAGCTTGACTCATAAGTTGATTAAATGCCGCCACCACAATGTTAAACAAGAAAGGTGAGAAGGGGCAGCCCTGTCTAAGCCCTCTTTCCATCGGTTAGAGATGGTCGTCTTTCACCTCCCTTCTCTTTCCTCCTTTTCTCTTCCTAGGCCTCCATCTGCTCCTCCATGTTTCTTTTCACTGTTCATTCTGCCGTTATTGGTATTTTCCTTCCCAGTTCACAAATTTCCATTCCAATAATTGAGGCTTTCATTGCAAATACCTTCCAATTCACAGTAATCTGCGGACAAGCTAATATTCTTCTCTTGCTAGTGACTTCAGCTTTGATAAGGGCATAATGCAACCTATTTCTCATCTCTGTCGCCTTGTCACTTGTAAGAATTTTCCCCTAGAATTTCCCGGTGCCTCAAACATTTTTAAGTGCCATAGATGAGCTGGTGGTTCCTCCACTTGCACCCATACTGAATACTTTCTTCTATCCTTATTTAAATCATAGGGGTGGATTTCTTCAAACCACTTCTCAAAAATCACCATTTGTTTTGCCAAAACAGCCTCCAACTCCTTTGTCTCACTAAAAGTCAGTATTACATTAAGACCTCCAATAACACCATCATTTGCTAAGATACTTTGAATCTGTCGACAATTTGTTGCCCTTCTCAATCTCCCCGTGGCGCTACACCTCAGCCATTCCACCTCATCTTCATGAATATCCACTTTGATACCACTTTATGGATTTAGCTTAGTTGCTGAATTGGTATATTGGTAGTTTTCGAATATTTTTGGGAATAATTTAATTACATGTATTATTCTAATCCTTTTAAAGTTGACTTTGAATAGCTTGGAATTGTGGTACTATTCCATTCTAGTATTAGTGGCTGGATACATGAAAAATGCAACCATTGCCATAGATGCTTTCTCCATCTGGTAAGAGCATTTCACAATGCCTGGTAGTTTAATTTGTTCTTCGATTACAGTAAATTTGCTTTATAGCTAATTTATTGCTGCAGCCTCAGTATCAATGGATGGGAATTTATGGTCTGCCTTGGCTTCTTAGTTGCAGCAAGGTATACATAATCTTGCTCCATATATTTACACATGATGGAACAACCAACGTCTTCTGCTTTTCTTCCCCTCCATAGAATCCCTTTAATGCAATATCTTTGTATTGTTAGCGTGCGCGTCTCGAATGAATTGGGGAAAGGAAATGCTAAGGCAGTGAATTTCGCCATAAAAACCATCCTCGGCACTTCAACATGCATTGGTGTTGTCTTGTGGATACTGTGCCTAGTTTTCCGAAGTAAAATTTCATACTTGTTTTCCAGTAATGAAGAAGTTGCAGAAGCTGTGTCAAGCCTCTCAATTCTTCTCGCTTTCTCAATCTTACTCAATAGTGTTCAGCCAGTTCTATCAGGCAATAGTTGTCTTATTGATCCTCTTTTCCCTTATATTATCTGATACTTACAAAGTTAGAATTCTGAGCCTTTAAACTCTTCCTCCAGGTATAGCCACAGGAGCTGGTTTACAAAGCATGGTAGCATATGTGAACTTGGGATCCTATTATGTAGTAGGAATACCTATAGGAATTTTGCTTGGATACGTTGCTCATCTTCAAGTTAAGGTAAGAGCCAAAGAAAATAGTCTACTCTGTAGTGTGTGTATATTTGTTTTTTGGCAAAGTGTTAAAAGTTTCTAATTTTATGTAGGGACTATGGATTGGATTGCTGAGTGGAGTGGCAATGCAAACGCTTATTCTGGCTTGGCTTGTATGGAAAACAGACTGGGATGAGCAGGTACATTGTCAGTGAAAGAATTGTAATGCGAATTTGAACCATTAATTTCCCAAAATCAAAGCCATTTTATTTCCTGTGCGCAGGTAAGGAAGGCATCTGAACGTCTCAACCGGTGGCTCTTGAAACCGCCAGAGGAAGTTAATGGGAGTCCACCTCATGCTTAGAAGCTAAATCAAATGAATGATACTATTTGTAATACTAGTACATATTTCTTTTGGCTGAGAAAAGCAAAACAGAAACGTAAAACGTAAGGATATCTCTGTAGACCATATATAGCACCTTACTATGACATATAGGAATCAAATCATAAGCAATCAGTTGGGATCCGTTTTGCATTAACCATGAGATTGACGACTGTAGCGGTGAGATTAAGAGTTGTAGTGGTTATAGATAGATCATTAAAGATATTAGATTAAAGTATAGTATATTTTATAATTTATTATATATTTGATATTTATAAAATTAATAAAATCATTCAAAATTAATAAAAATTATTTTTATATCAAGATTTTTTGGTCAACATTAGTAATATATAAGGACGACAATGAGCACCTTGTTATAAGATACCTGATCCGATTATATAAGATTAATTAGAGTACTTTATAATCAAATTTGAGTAACAATTTTACTACTCGTGTCGAGTTCAGGTACCATTCATTGGATGCCCAAACCTGATTATGTTTTTTCTTTTAATTTCATGTAATTAAACATAAAGGTATATTGTTAATTAAATTAATTCATAAAGCTATGATTATTAATTACTTGTAATATGTTTTAATATATATACTCAATATATTAGAAATATAATTACAATTATATATATACTTTTAGTATATATACTTTAAATATAAATATATTTACTTTCTATTTTATATTAATGTTACAAAAATTATTAATTATAATATATATGCTTTTATTTATATAAACTTATAAAATAGATACCTAAAGAGAAGTTGTGAAATTAGAAGTTGTAGAATTTTTTTTTAATTTCACGTGAGATTAAAATAATTTTAGAACTTATATCTTATTAATATATTCACAAATGTTTAAAAGGAAGAACATACGTCCATAATTTCATTGAAGCAATTCATGAGATAGAGCTGGATAATTTGTCTACACAGATTAATACAAAGGGTGGCCAACCCGCACAATTTCACCCAGAAAATTTTCGCATTCTAGTTTTACAATTAGCCTACTGATACAATTAAATTTCACTCAGAAAGCAATGCAAATGTGTCACAATTTACCCAATATATATATATATATATATATTCTTTTTTTTTTTTGCTTAGCCAAATATAATGTGTTTCATTAAAGACTTGCTTAAGGCATTAAAATTGCAGATATACTGCTACAAGGGTTGGACAAAAGAGCATCAGTACAGACCAACACAAATACAAGAAAGGCTGGAGCTAAATAAACCACACATATCGGCTAAGCCTTTTATAGTTGAAACATATAAAATTAAAAGATGCTAGCAAGGAAGGCTATCACCTTGCTGAAAACATATTCTCACTATCAACACCGTGTTTAGTTAACGTGTCTGCAAAAGAATTTCCTTCCCTAAGGGAACCGCTCCTTCTAGAGCAGCTCAAAGTGTGACAATACCGCTCATTCAAGAGTGACTGTAAAAGATTCCCTTACCATTGTCTCGGTTGACCAACGCCGAAGATAGTACTTGCATCGTTGAGCAGCCTGTGAACAACAATTATCTATAATCTTTAATGCTACACCAGAACAACTTAGTGGCACATACGGGGACGGAGTTAATTAATTTTTATTGAAAAATTCAAAAGTTAAAAAGAATAAAAGTTAAAAATTTTTAAAATTAATATATTGAATTTAATTATTAATAATTAAAAAATTTATAATAAACAATAATTTTATATAACATATAAATCAAAAGAAATAAAAAGAAAAAAACTTATAATAGTACTTTAGAAAAATTTTGTTCGACGATGGCAATATCCTTTTTAATATAAACAACTAAATTATTTGTAAAAAACTTATCATCCATTTTATTTCAAAATCTAGTCTTTCTTAATATAATCAACTAAAAAAATTAATGTAGTCAACATCAATATTTTTATTTTATTATATTTAAGTTTATAACATTAAATATTAAACTATAATGCATAAAATAGAAATAGTTAAATACAATATATAGAATTAATAATTTCTTTTTATGCTCAAGATAATTTCTTTTCAACTAAATATAAAATATAAAGCACATTAAAAATATATACTTAAGATAATTTTTTCTTATATAATTAGAATTAATAAAAAAATAATATATTAGTGAAATTTTAAACAACAACTAATAATGCAACACTAGAACTTATATTTGAGAATTACATATACAATAATTTTTTAATTTTTAAAAATAAAAATTCTTAAAAATAAAATCCACATAACAAAAAAAAAATTATGACAAGTAAGAAATATAACTTATATAACAAAATATATATATATATATATATGATTGATGATTCGTATAAATTCAAAAAAAAAATCTATGAAAATTTAAAATATATGAGTAAATAGAATATAATTAAAAATATAAATAAAAAAAATTAAATAAAAATTTTATTTTTTTATAATTTTACAATATAAAAATAAAAAAAAGAAAAAAATAGATAGAAAAATTTTAAAAATAAAAAAAAAAATTAAAAATTTGAGTAAAATTGAATGAAATTTATAAAATTATTTTATTATTTTTTAATTATATTAATTATTTAATAAAAAAATATTTTAAAAAATTAATAAAAAAATAATATATAAAATTTCAAAAATTGAGGGGGCCATAACAAAGGGACGCTCCGCCCCTGGGCACAAACGTTTCTTAGCAGTCCACATTGAATGCCGGTGCAGCCAAAAGACGATACAACGGAGCCAAGCAATAAAAAGAAGCATAATGATACCACTGATGCGGCCGTGCTGAAAACTTTAATTCCCAGTCAACCCCATATTTAGCTAAGGCATCTGCAAAGGAATATCCTTCCTTCGAGAATGGACAGTGGTGATATGAGCAAGCGATTGCATCAACACAACAATTTACGATGAAATTTAAGAGTCCTTCCCATAAGACTTCCTTCACATTCTCGCTGCATGAATCTGTCACAATGAAAAGGGATTTCTACCAAGCAGTGATAAGGTTACCGGACATAATCAAAGCCTTTGGAGGGCCAAAAACGCTTCTCAACACTGTCAATATTCCTAGGTTGCTTTGTTTCCTGAATTAATATAATCTCTGCAGTTTTATAGAAACCATAAAAGCATGCTTAGCGGAACAGAGAAGATCCCAAAATCCTTCAACGCAATGCAACCAATTATATATCTTTCAGCATTAGAGACAGTGAAATCAAAAAATTCCCCTAGGCATCATAAAAGCCACAACAAGTGCAATAATACTTGGGAAGCAGTAGTAGCACAAAAACCCAGCAAAATCACAATTAAACAGCCATGGTTGTATCTCTGTATCTATAGTCAACAGCAGTCAAATGCACACATTCAGGACAATAGTAACTGTGAGTATCAATTTAAAACCAGAATTGTTTATGTATAAAATACCGCAAAAAAACAAGTTCCGAAGGTCTCTCAAATATATATTCATTCTGCGTTCCAAATGGGCTGCATGATGTTCCACCAATTTCACCTCCTTCTAGTTCTCTGTCTCACTATTTTTTGAATCTTGTTCACAATTTGCTCTCCTGGACAATTTCCAGAGAGTCCGAGATGTAGTCCAATTTTCCACACACTTTCTGCCTCCTTAAGAATTTCATTATGGTGCATTATGTCCCCATCAGAGACCACAGCTGCGGCTGCATAGTAATCAGAATTTGGGGAGGTAGCTTTTAGAAGAAGCCCTTTGATCCCTTTCTTCCTTGACTTTTTAAATCTCCTTTCTGCTTTGGCCACCACTGTTTTCTTCCAATAGATCTGCTGAGCAAAGCTCGGATTGGGTGTGCTCCAATTAGTCATTTTCCACTGTCCCCTGAAGCTCCTGCTGCTCTGGGCATGGGCTCTCTGATGCGATTTGTGGATCTGTGTTGAGAGAAAATGCAGAGCATGAGGGGTGGTTTAAGGCGGCCTGCATTGTTTAGATTGTCTTTCTGGCTTGGGCAATGGAGAGCATCTTGGGCTTCGTTTGGTTCTCAGTGTTCCGTGCTATCATGATTGCTAATTGGGCTTTAAGTTACATGGGGCTTAGATAGGCTCTCTTTCAAGCTGGTTGGATTAGCAAACCAAATGTGAAGGGCCGGCATCCTAAGGGAATGGGTATTGGGCAGATGGAATCCAAAATTCTTTCAGACTTTGAAACGGACCTGCTGGGCTCATTGATGGGCCTCTTTCCTTGATCCGCTTGTTTGGCCTGTGAAGTGCTTGGGCTCTCATTTTGTAAGCTGGTCTCATCTTGTGCATAATTTTTTGGTCAAAATACTTTAGTAGTCTTTGTACTCATGCATTTTATTTAATTTAATCCTTTCATTGAAAATCATAACAATTTAGTTTTTAATTTTAAAAATTACTTCAATTTAATTATTTTAATATTTTTTTTCGAAATTACCCTTCACAAAGTTGATATTTACATTAACATAGTGCTGATATGACACCTCTTATTGACATGGTATGTGCGGTGGGCTAGAAATACTAACATGGTAATGCAATATCATTTTAACATACTGATGTAGCAATGTCACATAGCATTGACATGCTAACATGGATATCCCACGTGGTATGTCAAGGAGGGCACCACGTGTCACACTTTCTTTTAGCACCCATCCATGTCATGTCACATGGCATATCTAAAGGGTGACATATGGCATAATAGGAAAGCAACATGAGACATGTCAATAAGGCATCATGTGTCACACTCTCTTTCAGTACCCACCCATGTCATGCCTCATGGCATGTCTAAATGGTTAGGAAGGCACCTCATGTCTCTTTGTTGTTTTTTCTAAAAATATTATATGTTTGCTAAGTTTTAAACTCAAGACCTCGTGCAAGTACAACAAGCTCCTTGCCACCAACACTAAACCATTGCATTTGATTATTTATTATTTTTGTTTTTTTTTCTTTTTTACCTTTTCTCTCTTTCCTCTTACCTTTTCTTTTAAGGATTGATCACCAGTCACTGAATGTCATCGTCAGCCTCTGTTCATCAGATGTTGGATGCCAATCAGTAGTCATAGTCACCGAACACAAGTTGCCGATTGTCGGCCTTTAAGGTATGAGGGGAAAGAGAAAAAAAAAAGAAAGAAAAAGAAGGAAAGAAAAAAAATAAAAAAGAATATTAGGGAAGAAAAGAAAAGAAAAAAACAAACAAAAGCTATATATAGTCAATAATAAGAGTTTAGAGTTGGTGATAAAGAGCTTGTTATAGTCTTAGGTTTGAAGCTAACAAGCCCACAATAGTTTTGGAGAAAACAAAAAAGACTAAATTGAAGAGAGTGCATGAGTATAAAGACTATTGAGGTATTTTGACCTAAAAAAAATTGTATTGAATTCCTCCCAAAATGTTGCTTACATTGAACTTAGGCTAATAGTTAATCATTTCTAGTCAGGGACTAAGATGTCTAATTAATTTGGCAAGTGCTCATTCCCATGAGGTTTTCCATTACATTAATTAGTGATTTTAGCATTAATGGCCTTTGATTTGAATTTATGGCTTAATTTTTCATTTATTCGTTTCCTAATTTGCTCAAAATTCATGCCCCCTAAGATTCTCATTTAATGATCTAACATTGACCTATGAAGAGAACACTGTTATCCACTCTATAATAACTAGGAACCTATCAATCTTGCTTCTTTTATAATCTCCCCAAGCCAAGTGAATCTTTTCTTTATTACGGGTAGGCCAATATAATCTTCTTTCTTGTGCAAATCTTTTAATTTTTAATTTTTATTATTAAATGTATAAAATTTGATATATATATATATAATAATTATTTTATGATTACCCTTTAATCACTTTTCATATACAATTTTATATTCGCCAATATTAATGAGCAACCATGCCTTGTTCAACTTACTTACAACTCTTCTCGCCTCTACTACCTATTCAAACTTGACAAAGCCAAACCTTTTCCTTGTTTTGCTTTTTCTTTATACACTAAACACATCTTGCACCTCTCCATATTGTTCGAAGATTTTTTGTAGCCACTGGATGATATTAATGAAGACTAAGACCAGACGATTCGTCCTTCTTTCTCAAAAATTAACCTTCGATTTTTGTTGGACTTCCCCATAATAATTGATATTTATGTTGGGCTTCCTATAAGGGCATTCATATTTATATTTCTTTCATTTAGTTTTCCCATCAGAACCCTAAAACCAAGAAGAACACTGTTTTAATCTTAAAAATAATTGATATTTATATTGGAGTATTTTACTAAATGATAGATATATGTGCCTTTTTATATTAAAAAGTAAGTTTGAATTTCTTCTTCTAAAATAAAAAAAAATGCATTTTATCAGTAGGAGAATAAAAACTAAGCCATCTAGTGGTAAGTGCCTCTCTCATCTCATGTGCTTGCATGTATATTATGTATATATACACTTGAAAATTTTAAACTTATTTAACACAATTTTTATCATTTAGGAAAAAAAATTCAAAATTTATTTTTTAAATACAAAATCATACATTAATCATTAAATCAAATATTTAAATGTGAACGTTTGCTTATTTAAATATTTAGATTCGTGATATCGATGATGGCTCGAGTCAAGTCCCATTGTTTATTAACCACGACCTGAACTTTGTTGTAGGCTAATTCCCGAGCAAATGGCATCTCTCTTCTGACCTGGAATTCTCTTTCTTTATGAACTCCGACAGCAATTTCTCCCTTCACTCCAACCAGCTCCGGCCAAGAGTTTATACTTGTAACATTCCATGAAAAATGTTGAAAGAAAAATATGGTGGCATCTATAATTTTGTGTATATAAGTCTCAATTAACCTATAAAAATATTCATGTGAGTTAGTTTCATTAGTCATTAAATATATATACTGACAATATTTTTAATCTAAAATCATCTCTTTGTGCACAGACACTGAATTATCTACCCTTTCGTCCATTTTTTCCCCATCTTTTCTTTTTGAATGTCTTGAAATAATGATTGCACCTACATATTTCCCACGTTTACACTAAATTCCAGGGAATTTCATTTTCAAGCTGGGCAATCCATGCTGCAACTTTGTACGATTGCATTCATGCATGCATGTGTCGCTATCTAGTTTGTAGGGAGTAAAAGTTCTTAATTTTCAGGTGTCTTTGCAGGCTTGGATTTTCAAAAGTTAACAGCAAAATCACCGTTTTGCATATGATAAATTTCCTTTAAAAAAGTAGGTGGGAAATTTATTCACTAATTTGAGTGAAACATGGCATTACTAGCTATTAATGTTTTGTTTTTGCCCTCTACTACTGTATAACAAAGAGAGCAGCCATTAATGAAGTTTTGAAGCCTTTTTCTCTCATCAATTAATCTTCTCTGAGTTTTTTCCTCTACAGAATTATTTTGTTCTTCACATATTTAAACATAATAGATGTATGTATTTTGTAATATTCCATGAAAAATATTGGGCATCTATAATTTTGGATATATAAGTCTAAATTAACCTATAAAAATATTCATGTAAGTTAGTTTCATGAGTCATTAACCATGTATACCGACAATGTTTTTAATCTAAAATCATCTCTTTGTGCACAAACAGTGAATTACGTACTCTTTCCTCCATTTTTTTCCCCAACTTGTCTTTTTGAATGTCTTAAAGTAATGATTTCACCTACATATTTTCCACGTTTACACTAATTTCTAAGAAATTTCATTTTCAAGTTGGGCAATCCATGTTGCAACTTTGTACGACTGCATTCATGCATGTATGTGTCGCCATCTACTTTGTTTGGTAGTAATGGATTTGTTAAAGGTCCCAATTTCACGTTTTTGCAGGCTTGGATTTTCAAAAGTTAACAGCAAAGTTACCGTTTTGCATCTGATAAATTTCTTTTTTTTTTCCTTTCAAAAAGTAAGTGGAAAGTTTATTTACTATTTTATGAGATAAACGTTAAACTTGAATTTTTAACGAGTAAAAATATGAATTTGAACTCTAATATAATGAAATTATGGAAAAAAAAATCCCATCATTTTTAATTTTTATTTCTACTAAACAAGTTTACGAGAATATTCTAAGAATTAAAATTCTGAATATTCAACTTAAAAGTCCCATATTTAAATTTAAGAGAGAAGGCTGACATTAACCGTATAAATCATGGTACCTCCAATTTTCGTAACCCCGAGCCAAATAAACTTTTACATGATTATAAGTTTTAGATCACTTGGTGACACAAAGTTCAATTCTCGGATTTGTTATCAGTGCCTTAGGGAGGGGATAAGCCGAGGGGGGCAATTCATGGGGAGTACCCACCACTTTAGGGTACGCTCAAAATTAATTTGAATGGATCTTTGTGAGGAAAATCGGAGGAGGTAGGAATTGGAGTGCTACACAACAAGGCATGCTGGTGGTGTTAAAAGACATTGCGTTGGTCTGATGGCAGGGATTGCTGATAGTGTATGTGTATTGCTAGTGGGCCTAGTTTGCCATATGCTGTAATAAGAGATATTACTGTGCACCCTCTTTGTCATGTTATTCCAGTTTAACAAAGGCATCTGTAGCTTTGTTTAACACCGGTGGCTTTTACTACCAGTACCAGGTAGCCTTAAATGATAATATCAAGCAATATATGAATCAGCCTTTTTTTGTAAAGAAAAACTTTCACCATGAGCAGGAAAGTGTTTATTCATAACATTGATTCATGATGGACCAACAGGAGCATATTAGCACAATGATACACATTGTAGAGATCTAGCCAATTCGAGGCACTTGAGTCACCACCCCTTTTCCATTGACAACAACCCGAACCCTGCTAGGATTGAACATCAAATCGGCTGGACTTCCTTCTAACAACAGCACTGCTTTCACATTCGGATTCTCTTTCTCGATCGTCGCTGCTGCAACCTTTCCTTTCTCTCCAACCAGCTCAGGCCACGACTGTTTACCTGTAAATTAATATGAACAAATCACAGGTAGAGCTTATTGTTTTACATTTTATGGATGTCAGAAATGCAACGCCGGACAACAAAAATAGCTTTAGGCTTTCCCCATTGAACCAGTGAAGAAAGCATACAGCAAAGGCAAATATCACACCATTAATTTACTAATTATAGCCTTACCTGTCGGCTGTAACGGGTCGGATGAAGAACCGTCAGCATAGCCTGCACCCACAAATGCAAGCGCAGAGCCAATCGCCGCAGAACCAACAATGAGCGCATCGACAACCGACCTCCGAGAAACGCCTCCTTGGACTGCTTGATGATCTTTAATTAGCGGCTGATTCTGAGCCCTACACACAAGCTTGGAGGGCTTGATGCTGGGGCGGTGGTGCTGTGAGGATGAAGATCTAGGAATTAATGGTGCGTGGATGAAAGCTTGGTGATGCAAGAAACATGCAGTAGACGCCATTTTCCCTCTTCGCTTTGCTTTGCTATAAACTGATGTAATGAAAAATGAAAATTGGTCCCCTATTTATCTACTACTTCGTGAAGTAGATAAGATTGGGAAAGGCTCTGATTGGTGTACCCCTCACCCTTTTGGCACGTTTTACATGTGACCTTGAATTAATAATATCGATTCAAATTGGAAATGATCCGGGTTTGGTTGCTTGTTGGATATTTTTTGGTCACGCTCACTTTCACATGGCAAACGGGTGAATGAGTGCAAGTTTAATGTTGATGGCTCCATTAGAGGGAAACTGGGTCCGGCGTATGACAATCAAATATTGCCTTCATCTATTGGCATTGTCTTCACATGCAGGCTCCAAAAAACTTGTGATCGAGTCAAATTTTACGGTTGCAATTTCATAGGTGCTGAAGAGAGATCAGAGCCCACGGGACAATCAATTATTTTCACATGATTCTAGGCCAATAAATTTGAAAAGAAACTTAATTACACAAAAATATTGCAACATTTAAGATGTTAAAGAAAATATTGATGAAGTGGAATGAGAAGAACTTGATTTGGTTTACTATAATTTTATATAGAAGTTAAGTGGAACAGCAAATTGGTTTACTTGAATTTACAAGAAGAAATTTATTTAGCTTAGCTTTGATTTATGTTAAAGATGTACCCTTGAATTGCTATGAAAAAACTTATCACAACTTTCTAATACAAAAGTACGTGGTTATCAACGGTGGACCTTAAGAGGACTTGCATGTCTTCGAACCGAAATTATTCTGATATTGAGTCCATTATAGTAAAAATTCGAAAAGATTTTTTGCCACTTTTCAAGGTGAACTAGTTGAAGTGGTAAATATGATAGTTGTATCTTTTTCTCTTATCTTTCCAATAGTCTAAAAATCATCTCATTTGGAGTTCTATAAAAAACGTTATGGCCAAAATATCAAAATATGTGTGGTGAAAGTCTGCATCTTAAAATTGCTCTCTTTCTTCTACTAAAATTCTTCTTTCATCAAACACGCACAAATAAATTAATCACACCCTATCTTAATCACATTAACACTCAATTAAATATAAAACTAACTAAGATTAGATTGATTGACCTAAATTAACTAATTTAAAATATTTAAATAAAACTTACTAATTTTTATGCGTTACTAAAAGAACTAAGTTAAATTACTATCAAAATTAAACCTAAATAACTCTATATCATAGAGTTATCAATTACATATACAACCAAGTGTCCTCTATTAAAACAATTACTTAGACATTTGCATCTCAATAGTAAAGAATTTAATCATTCTGTTGTGGTCTTTAAAGAGAGTTTGCAAAAATTCATTCTCTCATCAAACGCAATGTTTATAATGTAACAAGATACAACTCATTGTGAAACTGCAACTACAAGTTATAAGCTCAAGTAATTGCTCCTTACTCCTTAGTGCAGTCTGTTGGCTTGAAAGACAACTTGGTTTTCAATGTCATAGCCAACCATGAAGTACGCTTGATAGTTGTATCTTTTTCTCTTATCTTTTCAATGGTTTAAGAATCATCTCATTTGGAGTTCTATAGAAAGCGTTATGGCTAAAATACCAAAACATATGTAGTGGAAGTCTACACCTTAAAATTGTTCTCCTTCTTTCACTACAATTTTTCTTTCATCAAATACCTACAAAAGCACAAATAAATTAATCACAACCTATTTTAATCATATTAACATCAAATTAAGTATAAAATTAACTAAGATTAGATTAACTAATCTAAATTAACTAATTTAAAATAATTAAATAAAACTTACTAATTTCTATACGTTATTAAAAGAACTAAGTTAAATTACTATCAAAATTAAACCCAAATAACTCTATATCATAGAGTTGTCAATCACATCTACAACTAAGTGTCCTCTATTAAAACAATTACTTAGACATTTGCATCTCAATATCAAACCCAATGCTTATAATGTAACAAGATACAACTCATTGCGAAACTGCAACTATAAGTTATAAGCTCGAGTAATTACTCCTTACATCTTAGTATAGTCTGTTGGCTTGAAAGACAGCTTGGTTTTCAATGTCATAGCCAACCATGAAGTTCATTTAAGCCAAAGTACCATAGATTGCAAAATCAGAAATAGTTGTGAAAGATAAGCGTGAAACACCCTCGAAAACGAAAACGAAGGTGTTCAAAGGACTGAGCTTCACATCAGCATTGGTGAAATGCATTGTGATATTTGGAACTTTGAAATCATTTTGAGCTTCATACCAAAGGCTCAAAGTTTCTACCGGTGCATCAATGTGCTTTGCATCAATGTTCCCAGCCATCGATGTCTCTAGTTTTGAATAAAAATTCTTGAGGTAAGATTGTTAAATTGGTTCCCAAATAGATAATAATGTTACCCTATGTGGTTTCGAAAGAAGAGCTGGTGAATTCTAGTATATCGTTACCAACAGTAATAGTTTCTAGGGTGAGGAAATAGAAGATATCATCAAGACTTTTTTTAATCAATGGAGTTGAAATAGCCCCACAACTTGAAACGATAGCATTAGTCCCAAAATTTATTTTGCTTATACTAAATTCTAAATTAAATGGCACCAAGTAATAAGAGAATTTTCCAACAATCGAAGTAGCAATTTGGGAAATGAGGGAAACTTTTCCACCTTCAAGGCCAATGATGCCTGATCCTTTTTTGTTAAAGGTACCTCCATCATTGTGTCCATATCCAAAGACAGTTTTAGGAAAGGCAATAGATTGGCCACTTGTAGAGCCTAAGGTCATGGTATCAACAGCGAGATCTTCTTTTGAGAATGATCCATCTCCATAAAAGGTTGAATATAAGCAAGTATCATTTGCCTCAAGGGAACAAGGGTTGAAAAGAAAAGCATCTTGTTTGTAACACTCCGGACAAGGCTCACATTGCGTGCAAGTAAGATCACTACTTGTGTCAGCAATGGCTAAAATCTCAACTGGTGGTGCACCGATTGATATATTCATGAGGTATTCACCTTGATTAGCAATAATATCAGATTGAGCTTCATTTTTTGAGATACAACTTGGAGTGAAGTGATTCACACGAGCAACAAATCGTTGTAGGGCATTGATTGTTCGTTGTGAGGTAGTTTCTAATTGGTTTTAGAAAGGGGACTTGGGAGAATCACAATGGATCAATTCAACACCAAAACTGCCATTCTGAGCTTCTACAAAAGGAAGATAAGAAAAAAAGTAGCAAGAGATAATGGTTGCCAAGGAAATGGAAAAGATTGAGTGATAATTTTCAACTGCCATGATTGCAAGAGATACTAAAGAATAATTAGGGGGAATACATTACACGTAGGTTTCAACAAAGCTTATATATAGGGAAAAAATGTTGGGGTGCAATCATGTTGTGAATGTGTGAGAAACAAAGGGTAAAAGACTTCCTTTTGTGGCAAAAGGGCTGTGACCCGAATACATTAACATTAAGATGAACATGCTTTGGTCGTTTCAGGCATCTTTTGTTCATTTTGATAGTCATAATTGATAATATCATTTGGCTTGAATGCTTTTCTAATTAAGTTGATCTTTGATTACAGTGACAACTCCTATTTGGATTCATCAAATCTGATATTTATATTCAATACCAAATTTGAAAAATTGGTTCCCTTTCCATATATTTTCTTTTATCATAGCAATCTTAGTACAAAATAACTAAATTTTATCACCGTAATTTACTCTTTTGACTTTCATTCACTGTAATTTTATAGCGCAATTACCTAAGTCAATGTGTATTATCAGGTAATATCAATAAACACTTATTTAATGTACTTATCTAAGGAAAAAAATATAGTTAACACTAGTTTGTTACTATGTTGTGATATTGTGTAGATGTTAAAGTATTCATACATTACAACCTTTTTGAGCTTTTAGTGCATAATTTTAGTTGCATTTATTTTAATGTAACTAAATTTATCATATAACACTTAAAACATTCCATTTAATTACACTATTTAAAATGTAATTTCATAAAATAAATTAAAACAAATTAAGAAGGAAAAAGCTGATAAAATAAAGGAAGATTAAAAAGATTGAAGCCCACAAAATATAGGAAACCATGGCCCATGAAACAACCTAAAATAAATCCTTGTCTTTTACATTCAATTCTTTTCTTTTTGGAAAATCACTCATAGTTTATACCTCTTTCTTTCAATATCAGATCCACTATCTTCTTTTATCTCAATCTCAAAGTTTTTTACTCTTAATTTTTTTTAAGACAGGTAAATTATCTTTTTCTCAATTCATCGATTCTCTTTTTCTCTCTTGGTTCATTTTTCCCGTTTGGCTACCAAGAAAATTCTCAATGGGCATGAATCAAAAGAAATCTTCAGAGATTTTCTTAACTCCTTTGATTTGATGTTTTTTTATTAGTTCTTCTTTCAAATTTATATGAACTTTGAATTTTGAGAATTTTGGACAAATGCTAAATAGAGTTTTTATTGTGTAAAGTTTTATGTACTCCTTCATATAATCTCTGATTCAGGTACTCACTCTTTTTATTTTGAGTGTGATTTAGGTAAATGAAGTTTAGATTAGAGCTTTTTATAATTCTAATTAGCGATTTTGAATGAAAATTAGAGTTGCTTAAGCAAAGATATCAAGATATGACATTATTTAATTTCTTCATGAGCCTTAAACTAGGCTCATTAATGGGGATTCTGTACCCAATTGTAATATGTTGAAATTAAGGTTGAGTTACTGGTCTGCATGGTTTGCACCAAAACTCTGAGTTTGAAACTTGGGCAGAGGTTGAAGACGATTGGGTATCACATGAGAGGCACATGTCTACTTTATGTTGACTCTTTGACTAAGTTACTATTTACATTTGACCTTTTTACTGTACTAGCTGTTTATTCTCCCTGAGCTTGTTGTGTAAATAGCTAAGTGTCTACAATTCCTTAGAAAAAATTTGTCTAGTCATTCAAGTGAAACATGGCATTGCCACCTACTAATGCTTTGTTTTTTTCTTCTACTATTGTATAACAAGCAGAGTAGCCATTACTGAAGTTTTGAAGCTTTTTTCTCTCGTCAATTTTGTCTGAGTTTTTTTCTCTACAAAATTATGTTGTTGTTCGTATTTTTAAACATGGTATCAAAGCTATTTTAAGGATTTTAGAGGATCTTCGAAGGTTGTTACAACCTTGATTTTTTTTTGTTTAGAAAATTTTCCTAGTTTTTACAAGAAAACAGAATTTGAAACAATGGCATCTTCAAGCTTCAACACTATTGCTCTACCAGTGTTTATAGAGGAAGACTTTGCTATTTGGGCAGTCAAAATGAAAGCATACCTGAGGGCCCTCAATCTTTGAGAAATTATGGAGGTAGCAGCTGATTCTCCTATTATGAGACATGCCAATCCCACTGCAACACAACTCAAACAGTTTAGCAAGGACATTGTAAAAAGATACAAGGCCCTTTCTTGCATCCACTTAGCTGTGTCTGATAACATTGTCACAATGATAATGACTTGTGATTCACCAAAAGAAACTTGAGATCATTTGAAGGAAGAGTTCCATGGCAATGAATAAACAAGGCAGATGCAAGCCTTGAATCTCCATAGAGAGTTTGAAATCTTTAAGATAAAGGAAGAGGAGACCATCAAGGAGTATTCAAACAAGATAATGAAGGTAGTGAGCCACCTCATATTGCTTGGAGAAGAACTCTGTGAGAAAAGGATTGTGAACAAAATATTGAAAGTCTCCTTGAGAAGTTTAAATCCAAAATATCCTCCCTTTGAGGATTCTAAGGATACTACAAGGTTGACTATTACTGAGCTTTTAAATGCGCTACAAGCTCAAGTACAGAGATGAGCTTTTAGAAATGAAGGAGCAGTAGAAGGAGCTTTAAAGGTTCGAAACAGAGACAAAGGCTCAAGTAACAATCAAAGGAGATTTAATCATGAGATGAAAGACAAAGACAAGAAAAATGGAAATGGGAAGCAATGGAAAGGTAAAGCCAAGTTTCAACCATGTTCTTATTGTTAAAAATGAAATCACACAGAAAAGTTCTGTTGGTTTCATCCACATGTGAAGTGTAGGCAATGTAATCAAACGGGACATGTTGAAAAAGTTTGTAAATCCAACCCTACTCGAAATGATGAAAAAGCAGTTGTGGTCGAGGAAGTGGATAGACTAGATGAGGCTTTATTTGTGTTGAAAATTGTAAATGACCAAAGAAAAAAGGATTTGTAGCTGATAGATAGTGTTTGTTTTAATCACATCACTAGAAAAGAAGGAATTTTTACTGCAGTTGATAAAAACTTTCTGTCTCAGGCAGAAATTGGCAATGGAGATCACATAAAAATCATGCGAAAGGGCATTGTCAGTGTCCAAACTCTTTCAGGGATGAGAGCAATCTCAAATGTCTTATTTTTTCCGTAGGTTAGCCAAAATCTGCTTAGTGTGGGACAATTATTAGAAGATAATTTTTCCATGTGCCATTAAGAGAAGTCATGCACAATTTTTTGCTCTGTTAGTAATGAGCTACTTATTGTGGGAATGAAGAATAAGTGTTTCCTAATTGATTTCATGAAGAATGAATTTATTACCTATCAATGCTTGACTAATGTTGTTTTTTTCTAGCATAAACCTCTTGGGCATGTCAACTATGGCTCTCTAAAAGTGATGTCTTCATCTAACAAGGTAGATGGACTACCAACTATATCATCAACTAATAATGTATGCAATGTGTGTCAGTTTGGAAAACAGAGCAGAAATTCCTTTCTCAAGAATAGTAGCTGAAGAGCAAAAGACAAACTTCAATTAGTTCATTCAGATGTGGGAGGACCGATGAGTATTCCTTCTTTTAATGGTAGCTTATATTACTTGATTTGTATTGATGACCTTACCAAATTTTGTTGGGTTTACTTCAGGAAACAGAAATCTGACGTTTATAGCTGGGTCATCAAATTCAAGGCTTTGGTAGAAAATGAGTTAAGTTTCTCTATGAAGATATTATGATATAATAATGGCCTTAAATATTGTTCTTCAATGTTCAATGATTTCTTAGCTTGCAAAGGCATCAAACATCAACTGACAGTTCCTTATAGACCCCAACAAAATAGGGTCAATGAAAGAATGAATAGAACCCTTGTTAAGATGGAACAGTGGTTGTTGATTGGCAAGGGTTTGCCAACAAGATTCTGGGCAAAGGCAGTTAATACTACAGTGAACTTGTTGAATTATTTGCCAACTAAAGCTTTAAAGTCCAAGAGTGCATTTCAAGCTTGATATGACAAAAAACCTTCTATTGCTCATTTAAAGGTATTTAAATGCATTGGTTATGCAAAAATACCTGATGAACAAAACAAAAGAAAATTTGATTGAAAGTCTCAAATAGCCATCCATATGGGGTTTAGTGACATTTCCAAAGGCTATAAGTTATATGATGTGGATACAAACAAGGTCTTTATCAATCGAGATGTCAAGTTTGATGAAGGAAGCCAATGGAATTGGGAAAAAAGTTTGATTGAAAGTTTTAAAAATCTTAATATCAGTGCTTATCTTATACCACGGATTAACAGAGATGAAGAAAAAGATCTTGAAGATGAAAATTTGGTTGTCAGAGGTACTAGATCATTGTCAGATATTTATGAAAGATGCAACTCAATGATCATGGAACCAAACTCTATTGCTGAAGCTACAACAGATAAGGATTGGCTTCAGGCTATGAAAAACAAAGTGGAGATGATCCACAAGAGCAAGACATGGGTTCTTGTACAAAGGCCAAGTGACCATAAGGTAATTGGGGTTAAGTGGATTTTTAAGACAAAGTTGAATACAGATGACTTGGTAAACAAGTTGGAAGCTCGTCTGGTTGTCAAAGGGTATTTTTAAATTTATGGAGTTAATTACCTAGAAACATTTGCCCCGATAGCTAAACATGATACCACAAGGCTTATAACGGCTATTGCAGCTAAGGCGAGTTAGAAAAAATGGCATATGGATGTAAAGTTTTCCTTCCTGAATGGTTATATATCAGAAGACATTTTTATAGAACAGCCTGAGGGATTTGTTGTCAAAGGCAGTGAAGATAAAGTTTGGAAACTTGTTAAGGCTTTGTATGACCTTAAACAAACCCTAATGGCTTGGTACGAAAGGATCAACAGCTAGTTATGCAACAAAAGCTTCACTCAAAGTGTTAATGATCCAACTCAATCAGATGATGAAGGAATATGAATTTATGAACCTGATAGTGTCATTGTATGTAGATGATATGTTAGTTACAAGATGAAGTGGCTTAATTCTGATGAGTTTTAAACTCAAGATGATGGAGGAATTTGAGATGACTGATCTCAGTGAAATGTCATTCTTTCTAGGCATTGAATTTGTGCAAAAATCAGATGGCATATTTATTCATTGAACAAAGTATGTTAAAGAATTACTTAAGAGGTTTAAAATGGAGAACTTTAAAGTTGTTAACACATCTATTGTTTTTGGCAGCAAACTGTGCAAAAATTATGGAAGTTCTCTGGCAGGTGAATCAAGGTATAGGAGTTTGGTTGGTTGTCTCTTACATTTATCAGCCCCTAGATTAGATATAATGTACTTTGCTAGTGCACTTCTTAAATTTATGCAAACACCATCTGATTTGCAGCTGATGGCTACTAAAAGGGTACTTAAGAATATCAAAGGCACTGCTGACTTTGGATTAATGTTCAACAAAAATGAAAGTGAGAATCTTCTCGGCTACTGTGACAATGACTGGTCCAGGAGTATTGAAAATTCACGTAGTACATCTAATTTTTGCTTCTCTTTTGCCAGTGTAGTTTTCGCCTGGAATTGCAAAAAACAGGATGTTGTAGCTTAGTCTTCTACTAAAGCTGACTATATCGCAACAGCTTCAGTTGTATATCATGCGATTTGGTTAAGGAAACTGTTTTTCGACATTGGCTTTAAGCAAAACAAGTGTACAAAGCTTCTAATTGATAATTAGTCCGCTATTACGATTGCTAAAAATCCTGTTTATCATGGTTGGACTAATTAAGCACATAAAAGTAAAATTTCGCGCCTTTAGAGAGGCGATCACAAAAGGAGAAATTTTGTTGAACAGTGCTCTTCAAAGGACCAACTACCTAATTTTCTGACTAAAGGGTTAAAGAAGGATTAGTTTATAACTCTGAGGACTACGCTAGGAGTCACCAAACTCAACCTTAAGGAGGTGTGTTAAAATTGAGGTTGAGTTGCTAGTCTGCAAGATTTGCACCAAAACTCCGGGTTTGAAGCTTAAGCATATGTCTATTTTTGTTAACTCTTTGACTAAGTTATTGTTTAATTTTACCTTCTTATTGTATTAGCTATTTATTCTATCTAAAATTGTTGTGTAAATAGCCAAGTGTCTACAAGTCTCTTAAAAAAAAAAATTGTGTAGTCGTTTGAGTGAAACATGGCATTTCCAGGTACTAATGCTTTGTTTTTTTCCTCTACTGCTGTATAACAAATAGAGAAGCCATTAATGAAGTTTCAAAGCTTTTTTCTCTCATCAATTTTCTCCAAGTTTTTTTATCTACAAAATCATCTTGTTCTTCATATATTTAAACTTAATAGAAATATGTATTTAGTAACATTCCATGAAAAATATTGGGCATTTATAATTTTGGATATATAAGTCTAAATTAACCTATAAAAATATTCTTGTAAGTTAGTTTCATGAGTCATTAACTATATATACCGACAATATTTTTAATCTAAAATCATCTCTTTGTACACAAACAGTGAATTATCTAGTCTTTCCTCCATTTTTTCCCCATCTTTTCTTTTTGAATGTCTTAAAATAATGATTGCACATACATATATATTTTCCACGTTTACCCTAAATTCCATGGAATTTCATTTTCAAGTTGGGCAATCCATGCTGCAACTTTGTACGATTGGATTCATGCATGCATGTGTCGCCATCTAATTTGTAGGTAGTAAAAGATCTGAATTTTCACGTTTTTGCAGGCTTGGATTTTCAAAAGTTAGCAGCAAAGTTACCGTTTTGCATGTGATAAATGTCCTTTTTCTTTTTCCTTTCAAAAAGTAGGTGGAGAGTTTATTTACTCATTTATGAGATAAATATGAATTTTTAACGACTAAAAATATGAATTTTAATTCTAATATAATGAAATTATGAAAAAAAAAATCCCATCATTTTTAACTTTTATTCATACCAAAGCAAGTTTACGAGAATATTTTAAGAATTAAAATTTTGAATATTCAACAGAAACATCCCATATTTAAATTTAAGAGATAAACAATTGATATTAACCGTACCAAACATGTTACCTTCAATTTTTGTAACCCCAAGCCAAATAAACTTTGACATGATTATAATTGTAGATCACTTGGTGACACAAAGTTTGATTCTCGATATTTCATATACAGTAACGTATACATTGAGATACTCGGATTTGTTATCAGTGCCTAAGGGAG